AAGGCAATCTTATGAATAACATAATTGAAATTTTTTATATTTTTATATCTCTTATTGCAGTTTTCACTATTAAGTAATTAAGTTATATAAATCTTTAAAGAATATAATTTTATGTTTGTTTGAGAGGATTTTGACTGAAATTTTCTGCAAGTAGTAGCTCTCTGTTTTCTAATTAGCACAAATTATGTAATGACTACAAGACCTCCTTTGTCTTTTTCATACTTGATCGAATGATGCTTTTAAGTAACAAGAAGGCTGATTAATTATTAATGGTTCTTCTTGAGACTCTTTAATGAGTCTTATTCAGTCTCATTAATGAGTGTTCGACTCATTAATTATTAATGATAGATTACTATTTGAGGATGCTAGTTTCATGTACACATCAGATTTTTTCGAATTGCTTATGTGGCGGTGATATTTTTATATAAGCTTGTGACCCAAGTTTTACTAACAGTTAGGTTTCAGTTAAACTCTATCTTATCCTTCTTGGCTTATGGCTAAATATTCTCTACACCAAAAAATGTATGCAAACTTAGAGGCATGCGGCATAGTTTAAAAGTAAAATGTTAATCTTAATCGTGAGACTTCCACAACTTTCGCCAAGTCAAGTTTATCTGAACATTATTTCCTGATAGATTAAGGAATGCTTAAGGTTAGTTAATCGCTGTGCATGTGACAAAATTAGGATAAGCATTTTATAAGTTTAGAAAATATGTAGCTAATGAAATATTTGGCTTTGAATTTAAAATCGTGTTATAAATAATTTGAATCTTAAAATGAGCAGATTAAACAGCCTTATCTTGTAATGTTGTATGTACGATTCAGTCGGTCATTTTTGTTTCTTCATTACTTGAGCTGTAACTGAGTTTGCTAACTCTGCGGAGTCGCAATAAAAGACACTACAAAATACATTTATAATTATCCTTTATAATTATCATTGAAAATTATTGGAATACTGTTTTAGAGTTAATGTTCATGTGAACGAACAGTTTCTTAAAATTGAAAAGCAATCGAAACATGTCTTAATGTAAGAATATATAAATTTATTAAACATAAGAGAAGCATTATTAGAAATCAGTTTCAAAAATTAATTCAAAACTATCGAAAACTTCCAAAACTTGAACTTTTTTAAACTAAAAATATGTTTAATGTTTAAAATTATGTTTCCTCTAATTTTTTGGCAGACTTTAGAAAACGTGCATCACTTTTTATTTCTTCGGAAAATTCTGAACATTTTTCTTTCAAATTAGATTTAATAAATAATTCATTTTTTATAAACTCAGCCGAAATTTCGTTCATTTCTCAGCTTAATTGAATTTACATTAAAAATCCTTTCACAGTTAGTTCAAGTTTCAGTTATTGAAAACACATACGCGATTTTTAAACATATTCATATATTTATAATCAGCACTTTTAAAAATCGCGTACCTTTTGCTACTTAACTTTTTTTATCTTATAAAATGCTCATAAAAGGGATAGAGTTTTCTTGAATTAGTGTTACTTTATCAAAAATATTATCCATATTCAAATCTAGCTTTCCAATAAATTTGAATCGTCAGTAGCTTCGATAAATCTCTGGTACAATGGATAATGATTTATTTAAGAGTTTTAGAATCGACAATTTACCAAATGTAGAATTCTCATTTCAATCATTCATTAAGTGTTCTTCCAAATACGTTACTCGTTTAAAAAAAAAGAATAGTTTAAAATTATCAATAATTCTTTGAGATTCTGCATTATCTAATTTTTCTAAAGTTTTGAACTTTAAAATTAAACAATTCCTCATCACATCGAAGCTTATTTCTTAAGTTGGTCAAATCATTCAAAACATGTGCCCCAGAAGTTTTCGTCTTCTCTAGTTTTTCAACAGCTAAGCTCAATATCGACATTAAATATTGCGAGAACAATAAATATATTTCGATAATCTGTGCAACTTCTTTGGAATTCCCATGAATAAAAACTCTTTCGATGCATGGGTACTAAGAAAAGTACCTAGCAGACAAATGACTGAGAATCTCAGGAAAATCAGTTTTTAGAACTAAATGAAATACCTCCAGCCTTTCAAGACGCTTTGCAGACAACGATAAATAACTAAAGATTTTTAGGTTATTATTTTCTATGTCTATACTCAATTTTCTCATTTCACTTTTTGCTAATCATGTACAATGTGAGCATTGTAAATGGCTTAACAAAGCCTTCATTTAATGAAAGGATGTTAGTATATATAGTTGTTAGTATATATAGATGTTAGTATATAATAATTGAATACCAAAGAGCATGGTAACTTTTTATGTTGACATTACACTTGGAAATAATTATAGGCTTCAGCTAACTGCGCTGCGATGTGTTGAGTTAACAGAAGAGAAGAAACTTAATAGAAATTTCTTTCCATGCGCAGAAAACTATAGATTTTGTAAATGATACTCATAGGCTAAAAGATTACATTTAATGCTCTATGAATTTATAATAACCGATTTGTTATTCAAATAAGCCCAGGAACGGCGGTATCTGGCAGTAGAATTTATGAGAGGCAATATTTTGAGAATTTAGAAAAACACCAAGGGACAAAATTAAGTGATAACAAAATTTTTAGAATCTAAGGAAGGCATTTGGATTGTATAATTGGTAAAATTTCTAGAAGATAGGGAGTCTCTTGGAAGCAGAATTTAGGATGCGCAGAGATTACTACCAGACCGCAAAATGTCTAGCTCTGGCTCTAGATAAGACTTAAAAGATCTAGGATCTTGGATCTTTAGACTGCGTTCAGACAGCGACGTAAATGTCACAGAAGCATAGTCACAATTAATAAAATGCGGGAATCCGTTCACACCTGCCACAAGATCTAAGCCGCACCCACTTAGAGAAGCTAACATTTGCGCATGCATGGATGTGTCTACAGGTTTCCCGCTCTGTTTTCTCATTAGGTTTCGCGCGTTAGCTCTGATAGATCGACGCTTATGCCAAGTCGACATAAAGTTGGAAACTTTGAACTTTTATGCCAAGAGCCCTAAACGAGATTTTGTGACGTAGGGCAGACTGGTTGCTTGGCAGCGCAGCTCACCTTAAACCACTTATGCCCTTTATACCGTCGTCTGGGAAAAGGCAGCTTTATTTTCTGTCTCAGCTACAAGGAGCTAAGACTTTAGTATATGTCAGAATTTATTTATTTGGGAATCATTTAGGGCACGTCTGGAAAGTAGGCGTAAGTATTATAAATAACTAAACTAATATAATTCAGGACTAAATTTCGTCAGCGTGGTACAGAAAGGTTCCAGAGAACGAAATATTTCAGTTGACAGTTTAGTGGGAATTCTTGATTCGAAAATTATAGGATTTGAAAAATTGAACTTTGTAACTGAGCAAGAAATTATCGAATGTATCGCTGTATAATTAGAAAGAAAGTATTAGCACAAAAAACGGTGGAACTGAAAACAACTTGCATTTAAAGAAATGTTTAATAAAACAGAATAAATAAATAAGCCTGAAAATGATGTCCACATGGTGTTTTAAAGGCCTTTCCTCAAGTGTAATGCAAATATGAATCAATTTAGCTTACAATGCTCTTAACGAAGGTATCCTTAAGCCATTGTGTAGCTGTGACAGCTTTCTAAAACTTCAACTTCCTGAAACTCATTATTAATTTGCCTCTTGTAATCTTTCAGTTGCCTCTCTAATAATCTCAGTTGCTCCTCTAATAATTTCAACTGCCAAGTTCTAACTGCCTTTTGTAATCTTTCAATTAGTAATTTTAACTTGTGTAATCTGGAATCAGTAATATTAACCCGTATTCAACTCGTAATATTTGTAATTATAACTTTTGAAATCTGGGTAAGTCTGGGCTCTGTTATGAAAGCACATTTTATCATACTCAGAGAAGAAATGCTTCATTTAATTTAACGCAATCACTGGCGCAAATTGGCGAATTTTTTTACAAATAAAAGGTAAAAGGTACTTATCGGGTGCAAACTGACGACTTTTCATAATTTCGTTTTAAGAGATTCCCAAACTATCGCTATGTGTCACTAAGTCGGAAAACATTATCAATATTTCAAAATGAAACAAATTTTAAGAATTTAAAATATAAATTTTAATTATTAAAGATTATATGATTCATTATAAAATAAGAAGAACTTTTTTCGTGAAATTATGCTGTAATTTTGATACTGTTTCTTTCCTCATGTATAGAGCGATTTTGCTTAAGACAAATATCAGAGAATTGCACAAAATCTGCACTGTGCACCAGCTATTCACCAAAAGATCTCATCGTTTTTCCCTATATCAATTTTGCTGCAAATTATTGTATCCTTGAAGAACTTTTGCCCCCACTTCTTCCATTAGTGGAAAATATTTTAAAATTGATTCTAAGGCAAAAGATATCACGATTCGTCTACAAAATCTTTTGGAATTTGGAATACAACAAGAAGAACGCATATAAAAAGGGCAGCGTTGATTGACTGAAGAGCTGTTATGAGCATGGTTGTTTGAAGAATGGTTATGCGCATGGTTGCCAAAATTTAGCACATTCTGCATTCTCAAACTTAGGTAGTTGCGATAATGCGTAAGTACCAGCAGGATTAAATTTCAATATTTTTTATGAATATAGGTAGATGCTATTTTAAAAACTAACTAAATATTTCCGAAAATATCTTCTGCGGCTATTTTTATTTTGGCTTGTGTATTAGAATAAAAATGCATATATATATATAGATAGATACTATCATTTTCTAGATTTCACTTCATTACAATAGTTTACAATATCTCTACTTTAAATTTAAAATGATTGCGGAAGTTCACAAAAAGATACATTTCACACAGAACAAAATAAAAATATTCTGTGTACTGATATTCTTCTTGAATTCCTGAGAATTTTATATGTGGTACATTAAGAAATACAAGCATTAAGATTTTTATAATTTTTAATTGTAAATATTAACTACGATGAATGAATTTTTTAACAATGATGTTGCTAGTGTTTGTGTAATGCAAAATAATAACTCTGCATAGCTATAAAATATTTATTAATAATAAAATTTCTGAATACATATCAACAAATCTGAAAATAATTTATCAAAATTAGTCATCCATCAGAACTGTTTTCATAGATCGGCAACAGATTTCATATAAGATCAGCTTGGAACGATTTACAAAAAAAGTTTAAGCTCAGACTGATTTTTACGAAATCTGTGGTGCACATCACGAGATCGATCTGATACAATTATTCTTAATTAGTTCACGCAGCACATATCAGTCTAAATCCAAAGTTATGTAAAATAGAAGATGTATTTCGCTCACATGATTGAAGGAATTAACAATGATTTTCGCAGTCTGCATAAATTTTCAATAAAAAATTGAGAACTATGTATCCTTTTGTTTTGTTTTGCTTCGTTAAAAGACACTTTTTTCATAAAGAAGAATGAAAGCGTTTCTTGTGGTCACTTCAAACTGGCATCATTAGTTTAAGGTTCATAATAACTTCTAAAAATAACTTAATGATTTTTTAAATTACTTTTAAGATCAGGTTAATTTTTAACAGCATTTTGAACATAAGCTGATGGAAATCCTTTCTAGAATTCTCAAAGCTGAATTCGTCTATATGCTACCATTTTAAACTATTTATAATTTAAAGTCTTAGCAAAATTCAAAAAATTGTTTAGTCCCAATTTAATGTTTGAATTTGCATATTTTTGTGGACCATAGTCTAAGATAAACAAACGTATCCATGCGAAATTAGCAAAAAATACATCTTGTCTAGAATAATGTTTTCGTTTCAGATACGAATGTTTTTACTAGTCAAATATCTCAATTCTTAAATTTATGACTAGATCTAGTCTTATGGGGCTACATTTTATTAAATTACTGGTTTTTTAAACTCTTCTAAATTTCCGAATGGCTATATATTTTCACTTCTTTTCAACTTAATGACTAGACAAAACTCTACCAGAGCATTTGAAATAAAGTATACTTAAAAAGCTACAATTCCGCTCCAGAAATTTATTTTGCAATTTTTCACACATGTATTATATTAATATACTGTTAGAATATTAAAGTAGAACCAAATTAATACTACAAATATTGTTTCTCATATTTTAAGAAACTTTGGATATTAAAATATGTAAATCTGAATATTATAATATAATTCTGCAAGCTCGGAAAATGTAGTGTCAATGATTTAAAGATAATTTTGTAATTTAAAAATTAAAAAATAAATTTTCAGCATGTAAAAATCTAAACTTTCAATTGTCAACTGGTAAATAAAGCGTTCTGTGTGACATATGCAGATAAACATTTAAATACATAAAAATTCCTTATACACATTATATTATTAATACATTGGTAAAATTTTTACACTTACTGATGCATTGTTTTGATGCGCATATCATTCATACTTAATATCTTTAAGCCTAATATTTTGCCTAATATTTAAGCCTAATATTTTGCAATTATTGCTAAGTAGATTTGAATTTGTTTAAAGTATTTTAACTCCAAAATGCGAGCACATTCCTTATATGAAGAATGGTCGTTTCACTCACGCCTACCTAATACTGATGTCTATTCCAATAACTATAATTTGACAGTCATACCCAGTTATGGAACTAAGTTTATGGATGACAGTTTCAGTTGGCAGTCTTCTTTGCACACTTCACTCTTTGAGGAGGAGAAGGAACTTGTCTAAAGGCCGTCTCAAAAACGCAGACCCAAAGGTAGTTATTTGTTTTAAAACTGTTGAATTTTCTTCAGGAATATTAGCGATCTATCATCGAAGCCGAGAATGTGAGTCTGATCCAAAAGGAGGTAATGTCTCTGCGATGGTAGAAGCTGCATCTTCAGAATACCGAGGCCGCTTTTCCTTTCTGGTCAGCAGCAAGCATGTAGCGCAAGCAGCCAAAAGTCCAATCTGGAGGAACAATGCTCCCAAAGAAGACACAACTACGACAGTCTTTGTTGTACAAACTAACTCGTCAGACATGTCTATGCCTCGTTCGTCTGAAATATAAAATTAATAGAAAGTACAGTTTTAGAATGATTAGCGTAGTAAGTTTTCAATTCAAGAGAGCTTTAACTATTCTATGACTATCTAACAATAACTAAAACATTTACAGTTACACAACACAGGAAACTAATCTCGTTATTCATTCAAATTTAGTAATTTTATTCTTTCATGCTACGATTTCAAACTTGACAGTTAAATTACTGTTCTTTTTACTTAGTTCATTAATAAAGTTATACAAAAGATTTAAAATATCAATAAATCAAAGACGCAATTATTTAAAATGTAATCCATATTATTGAAAATAAATTTACTCAGAATTACAATAATTTGTTTATATGAAAAGCAGCAAATGTGTTCTATTTAGTGATGGCAAGAATAGAAGTGATAATTTCATAAAATCTTCTATATGGCGGAGCAGCTAAAATAAAAATGAAATAATATCCCGAAATTAATTGAGTATAGCAAAATTTAGTGAATTATTGTTTTAAAGTCCTTTTAATTCAAGCATTAATTACATTTGATTTAACCTGCACTTTATTTCTCTGACAAGATGCAACAGCACAGCTTTATCTAGCATGAATAGAAATGAGCATATAATAATGGCACTTTGCCTACAAAGGATTATAATCTCCATTTCTAAACTTTGTTACCAGAGAGTAATTTTTTGGTTATTTTAAGTTTATTTACATTATTTGATAAGGTATATCTCCCGCTTCCCTAGCGTGCCTTCGTGGTGTAGTGGTTCTGCCCGCTGGGCCGGTATTCCAGAGGTCTGTGGTTCGATTCCCGGCGAAGGCGTTGCTAATTTTTCATCTCTCCGGCCTCAAAATAACCTAATGTCTCTACAATGGCGCCCGAACTAAAAGGGTGTTGGATGAGGATTCTCCATACCCAGTATTTGGCGATTGGATCCCCTAAAAACCCCAGTCGGCCTTTAAAAAGGGGAGTATATAAGGTATATCTCCAGCTTTCCTAGTGTGCTTTCGTGTTGTAGTGGTCAGCACACTGAGCCCGTATTTCAGAGGACCGTGGTTCGATCCCCGGCGAAGGCGGTTGTTAACTTTTCATCTTGCCTCCTTCCAAAAATCTTAATATCTCTACAATTTATTTACTAGCTGGATTGGCGGCACGGAGGTCGGGATTTGGGACTTTAAACTGTATTTAACTTAAAACCTATTTCGACAAGTATAATTTCGAGAACCATTTCATTAATAAGTGAAACTATCAAGAATATGTTAGAACATTTTATATGGATGCAAAAATAAAATTTCCAAGAACATTAAATAAATATATAAAGAAAAGAGCAAATTTTATGCATATTGTAAGAATTTTATTAAACTTTACACACTTTAAATTTAATCGGAATGCAATTAATGTTGAAATCTATCATATCCACAGTTAAAAAAATTCCAAGTTCAAAAAAAATTAAATACTTAGTTTGCGTTTGTTTTTATAGAAACTTCTGCTCATTTCCAGGTATAATGGCACTAGGTTCCTTTTCTTCAAGAAATAAAAATATTTTTCTTTTCAGTCAACGATACAATGTGAATGTAATTAATGAAAATCTAAACTCAAAATTTGTAAATTGATCAGAACATAAGGTAATCAAAAAGAAGTAACGGAATAGAATACAAAAGATGCAAGAAACTAGTAATTTAAGATACAGAGAAACACTACTAAAAATCTCAAAATATTGCTTAATAGCAATATAAAAAAGTAAAGAAAACTGGAAAAACAAATATCACGAAAATATCAGTAGAAATTGGAATTTGGAGCACTAGACAGGAATAAAACGAAATTCTCAAGATTGCCTACTAATCGCAATAACAGCATATGAAATAGAAACAAACGTTATTATACTTTTTATATCTTCTAAATATTCTTTAAGTTTATCTAATTATTTTTCACATGGCATGGTGAATTTGCGTTCATAGGCTTTAAAACCTTATATACTTTTTTTAAAACCTAATAATTTTCTTCAGGAAAAATTTAATTTTAAGAATTATCCTTTTTAATTTAGATAATTTTTTAAATTTTAAGTTTTGTTTTCTCTGGCCCTTGAATAAAATTACTGTAAATTTGCTCTTTTAAATTTTTTTTATACATTCCTCTTGATTCAATTGACATAATTTTATTCAAAAATTTTAACATGTTCTTAAATTTGCAATTATGCTCTAAATTTTTATGTTTAGCGTATTCAAAAATTTCATAATAAGCTTCGTATAATTATTGAGTTTTATTTCCAATTAAATTTATAAAAATTGCCAAAAGTATTTTTTTGATTTTAGTTTGTTATTTCTAATGGAAGCAAATTTCGTAAAAATAATATTTCCAAAAAAAAAAAAAATATAAAATTTGATTTTATTCCTTCTATTACAAGGAAGAAATTTGAAGGTTGGCAAAAAATTTTATAATTTTCAAAAAATAAATAAATCATCTCGTTTAATCGCCTTTCAGAATATTCAATTCACCGCCCCCCTTTTGTGGAAGACTAAATAGAGCTGGCATTCGCCTCTATGATGCAAATTTGCATAATATAATGCTATGACCTAACATCAGAGGCACGTTCTCGTGCGTACGTGCCATCTAACAAAATGAAACGGAAACGTGGGAAGAAAGGCTTGCATAAACAATTCAATGCTATTATGGTTCAGTGTCATGCTTTAAAAGAACTAATTTTATGACCCTATTTTTATGGGACACAGACTTTTCAACTAACTATTGGATGATTTAATAATGAAAAAGTCAGAGAGAACAGTAATTTGCAACTTAAAAATTGTAAGTACAGAAAAACATATAATACCAAATACACTTAAGAAGTTGAAAAAAAAATTACAGTTAAAATTAGAGTTTCTACGCGAAAACAAGCAATTAGGCCAGCGGGAAGAAGGCAGATGTTTGGTGCACAAGATTATCGCAGTCGGCAAAAAGACACTGAAAGTGCAGAAAGTGACTTAATTCACTATTCTACTGAGTTTCAAATGTAAATAAATGGCGATTCGATAGAGTTAACTTTTAAATTGTTGATAATTCTGCAACTATATTGCATGCATATTACTTATATTACATGCATATTAGTTATATTGCATGCACATTAGTTATATAAAGACCTTAACCGGAACATAAAAATCGCATAATTCAATCACTTTTAAAGCAAAATATGCAGAATTTATCAACATGTGAAAAAAGAAAACTAAACCCGCCGAGTCAGGCAACAGAGTGGGAATATATATATATATATATATGTGTGTGTGTGTGTGTATATATATACGACGGGTGCAGCCGATTACAACGAAAAAGGGAGATGCACAACTACAGCAGCCTCATATACAAAATTTCAACGTTCTATGGCTACTAATTATTGAGTTATCAATCAATCAATCAAAATTTTTACACCTCTCCTGCGAACAGTTACGCAACTGAGAGAATCGACCTACTGTGAACCCCCATATCAGGCAGGGGAAGGTCGAGGCAGGTAGGCCACAAAAACGAGTTCGACTTTGTGGACTGGAGTCGTAGGGCACAAATCCAAAACTTAGCCTCAGCCCAAAATTGCAAATTCTACTTAAGTTTTAAAACTAATTCCTTATTGTTTGGAGAACCGGGTTCCACACCGGCTCTGAGCCTCAGACAGAAGCACTCCAAAAATCCTCCGCTTACTGGGCCGGGTCAACACTCCCTGTTCTCGGCTTTTCGACGGAGGCGTGACCTGAAAACCTGATGGACTTGACCGGTCGTTTAAATGCTCCCGCCAGTACTACGCGGGCAGCGCGTCCCATCAGGACATTACCTAGCCAACTCGGTGCCGTCCAACACCGTGGTGCCGTCCCACACCCAGCTACAGAACCATCTGGTATACGTCTTACGCATTTCCCCCGAGGTCCAGCCATATAAATGACCCAACCTCGGGCTCTGGAACCGCCAGGCTCGTGATTTTATACCCCCGTGGCCGAGACTGCCTAGGTACAGTAGCTTCGCAGAGTTCTCTGCGTCGACCCCCGGGGGGAATTATTGAGTTATGTGAGATATATACGTACGTACGTACAGACGTCAAGGAAAAAATTTATTTTGAATCCATTTTAAATCCAAATTGCAATCTTTTTTGGCAAAGCAGTCCTTTATTCTGTACGTACGTACAAGTGTCATGCAAAAGCATCTTTTAAATGGTTTCCAGAGAGGTTGAAATGTATATTTTCTTTGAAATATGATACCGAAAACATTTCGCAATTACAATGCTTATACTTTACTTCGCACAAGAAAGTAAAACCTTCATTTTTAATATTAAGTAAATAACAAAAGATATTTTTTTGTTAGTTCATTGATTAAGAAGTTTTTAATAATTTGTTTTTTTCAATTTCTTTTAATTCGTTTCTTGAACTATAAATGTTTTTAAAATTTAAATCAGTTCTTAAAATCATAATATCACATTAAACATGCAAATTTTAAAGGTTGTAACGTATCTATTTACATTATGTGCATAGATAAACAAAATAAATTTTAAAATTAACTTTCAGAATAAAACTATTTTTAAAAAACGAAGAAAGTGCATACAAAAAAAGAGTAATTAATTATTTTTAAAAAAATTAACGAAAAGTCTCGAATTATTTTACAATGCATAAACTCCGTAAGACTCATATAGAAGTAATATTATACGTAGAGCCAGACGGGAAAAACCAAATTATTCCAAATTATTTATAAAATGTCTAAGAATGATCTCGGATTTTTCAGCTTCACTGATAATTGCCCTTCTTATAACTTTTATTAGCATTTTTAAAAATGGCTGCAGATTAATATCGATACCAAGAAAACATAATTTTTTAATGAAATTAGTTTTGTTAAATTTAATACAAATTATCATGCATTATTTCAAAAACAGCGTTTCATAAATTATAAAGAGATTATACTTAGCTTTGAAAAACTTTTAAATGTGAAATACGAGCTAGTTTTACGGCAGTAAAAATAATGCTAATAGTTGATTCAAATAGTATAGAAAGAGAATACTTATTAGGGATAACATTTAACGTTTCTTTAATAAAATTAAGTCAGTTTATTAGCTTCCTTATGAAAAATGTTATATATTAAAATTCCAGTTTGGGTCCCACTGGTGATCTCGTTTTTAAGGTTGCAAGTTCTCGCAGTTGCATCCAAGACTTCATTCCTAGCGGTGAAATGAGACGGTTGCACGCAAGTTTTTGTACTTTTTTCCATGCGAACAAGCATATTTCCGTAAGAATTATTCGAGGAAGGCATCAAACCCCTTGGGCTAATATCAAACCCCTTGCGCTAATAGCTGTCGAACACTCTTCAGCAATAAAATACTGGAAAATATTCTACTAACAGCAGCAAAAGATCACCTTTTAATTGTATTTAGTTTTGCCTTTATATTAACTAAATTAACCTGTGAGATACGAATATATTAGCAAAACTATTAGCAAGAAATGAATATCGGGATTATATGGTGATCTTCAAAGGACATTAATGAAAAGGCGATGATGAGTTAAAATATAAGAGAGGCTTAAGGAAAAATTTCGTACCACTTTCAGAATTTTTAAACTTTAAAATTTCATATTGATATTTTATTGCCTGCTTCTGTTGACTGCCGTTTTTAATAGAACGTCCAAAAAATTGCGAAAATACTTACCAACGTATTGCGAACCAGTCGGTCCACTGTTGTTTCCGAAAAGTGCTCCTTCCACTACAATAACTGCATCCAGAGGATAATCTGGCACAATAGGAATTTCTTCCGTATCTTCCCTCTTCCTTCTCTTTCCCCATGACTGTGTTCCACCAGGGCATATTACAGGATTGCATTCTTCCAGACAGAAATGGACATTAACCTGGAAACGAACCACTGGATCCTCTGAGAACTTGAAAGCCTGGAATCTAGATTGTAGAGATTTGGTTCCAGGGATTTTATCGAAGGGCGGGAAGATCCTAGGGTCTGTTGCGCACCTAAGCAACGCAAAATCGTTATGGAAATTGGACATTTACATATAATATGAATCTAAATTCATGCTGTCTGTAGTCATTAATGCAACTGGCACATTGCTTCTTGCAATTATTATGACACGTAAGATACCAGATAACAGTGAATTAAAGCTGAGTTGATTGCAATTTTTAATTTAGCTTAAACCCTAAATATCCTTATGTTGTCGCTGAACCGCTGAACTTTGATACTTAAATCAAAGTCAGAATTCTGGCGAAAGTGCTGGATGCGTAGAGTTTTCATGGTTTCTCCATGTGTAACATAAATCAAAGTGAGTTTCCTTTAGAAAATTTTCCACGAAGTTGGGTATTACATTACAGTGGACAGTAGTATGTTTATTTTGCGGGTTGCTATCTCATTAGCAAAACAGCATTAACTAGTTTAAAGTTTATCTGATATCATTTTTTTTTTTTTGTGTGTGTGTGTGTGTGTGATTTTGGATAGCATTTTTCCGTTTCCTTTGGTGGTTTTAGCTAGCAGCATTTTGAACAATTCACAAAGTGAATAAATTAAATAGAAGGCATTATCTTCCAAGGCAGAGAGTCCTCTTGCTCTTTGCTGGATTCAAATAAACAAAACAACTTTTTTCCCTGAACTGAACTTTTCAATGGTAATAGATTCAATAACCTTTCAGCAACAATCATTAATAATGTATGTTACTTTTTTCTTTTTTTCTCTCTCGCCCTCTCAAACAAAACTTGGCGAATCTTTCTCTAAGAACATTGAAAAAAGCCACAAAAGGTAGCTTAATGATAACATCAATAATACATAAGATTAAACTATTTGCATTAGTGGACCACATCATAATATAGATTAAACTATTCCCATTAGTCGATATAATTATTTAGAAAAATAATTCAAGTTTCTGAATTTTATACCAGGCTTTTCCGGGATGTATGCCACAAATGTATTTCAAGCGAGTTTTATTTTTTCTACATACTGTTTCCCGATGTGTAAATTTTGTTATAGCTATTTACTAACTTATCTATACTTTTCTTTAAGGAAAGCTCCCGCGAATGATTACAACCGTATCTTCACGCGTGCGTTTGTGTCTTCCTGATTTTAGAAAAGGTGACGCTTCATGTGCAGGAGCAAATGGTAGTCAGATTATACCATTTGCTCCTGCACATGGACTGTAGGAGGGATCATCAAACTGCTGCCAACTTAATTCTTTAGTTTGCCTTTACGTAACACCAGCAACATGTGGCTGAGCACAGTTTGTGAGCAGAATAGTTTTTTACAAAGTATTATTGTCCTTTTTTCATGCGTTGTACGTCAGAGTTTATTTATAGTCTCACAGTGTAGAGCAGCATTCACAGTTTCACCTCTAGGAAGAAACTTTCCCTTTCATATCCTAAAACACGGTGTACATGATTTTTGGTTTAACACTGATGTTTGAAATGTTTGCCTTTTCAAAGATCTTGAATGTCTCCAGATCATCGACTGCTGTTTTGATTCTGGGGTTAGGCGACGAACCCGAGTTTCGTCACCGGTGACTAAATGACTTTAAAAAAAATGGCCCCTTCCTCATCACTGTATCCGGGTAAGAAACGTCGAAGCATTGCCTTCTTTGTACTGTATACAACAGCGACTGAGCGACTTAAATCACTGAGTATCCAAGGTGTTTAAGAAAGATACGGTGATATTAATCACCTTATCAGTTTTTCAAACAATGATCAATAATTGTTTATTGCTCTAAGATATAAATAGGAATTTACTTAAAGCTACTTCTGAAAATTGAGTTGTTTTAAACACATTTCTTTCTTTAAACGTTATTTCAACCCACATTTAAACTTTAATTTCGCCTTTAGAAAACGGATTTATTTTAATTATATTAATCTTTGAAACTTTTTAGCTGTACGAAAATTATGGTTTTAGCAAGCGATATCCCTGTAACGCTTTTATTCCTACCTTGCGAATTTTGCTCTGCGGAAACGTAAGCATTTCCTACCGCGGTTTTTTAGAGTCTAATAAACTTCGTTGTTGATGAATTATTTCTTAATTTTATTAGACCTGCAAAAGATAATAAAATGAAACTATGCAAAACATGGTTCTTATTGTTAGGATGTTTAAATTTAAAATCTTTCATAAAAGTTGGAATTCTTTTCAATTTTAATTATGAATAAATTTAGAATGCTTTTAAATTTCAAAATTTAATGTTTCTAATGAACACTGATAATGTAAAGTGAAATAAAATTCATGAAATGTAATGAAATTTTGTCCCACGGAATTTTCCTATCTAAAAATGTTTCACATGGAAATTTTCCCAGCTATTTTCCGTGATAAATTTTCAAAATTATTCATAATTTCTGGTTCAGTTGGTTGAAACTTTACATATAATGTGGCTATGATTCAAACGGATTCATTGAATGTCAAGTAACTAAACTTTTATAGTTTACAAATGCAAAGAAATTATTCACATATCAACTGAAAGGAAAAAAAATTATTTTTCTTTTCACCTAAAAATTCTCTGTATCATTTAACATAGGTATTTAGGGACGATTATTGTTTCCTTCTGTTGTTGCTTTAGGGTGTCTTCTTCCAGACTCCGCAGGAGTACAAATCAATTATTGAACTCATCTAAGTTTATTGGAAATGAGTACATGCGCACACCTGAATACTATTTTAGGCACTGGACGAGCACATAAAAGATGTTTTTAATGCGGAGTTCATGACAAAGAACATGCTAAAGATAAAAAAATTGGAACGACTTGGATATTTCCTCTACCTCGTTCGCATGGCTGTGAGAAGCCATACAGAGAACTTACAAAGCCAGAAAAATATGTGGACAGTTTTCTGTCGTTTGAGATGCTAACTATTTACATTAATTAGTCGTAAATATTTATATTTGTGAAATGCAAAAATACAATAATTTGTATTTTGATGAATAATTATTAATAAGTCTGAGACACTTAGACTCTTTCGACTTCGCGGTATGCATTTTAAAATTAATAATAAAGAAATATTTTGTTGCAAGATGTAATAATATTACTAATTCAAAAAATTAAAAAGTTAATGCAAATCAAAGTACAAAAGTCCAGTTCTAATTACTGCATAAACTTACCCATTAGAATCGATAAGGGTAATTTGAAGGTCACCTCTTCCATTTCGAGCTGTCATATCTCTGGCAAAAATTCCAAAAACACCTGAAAAGTTTGAAAGGAAAGTCAGTATTTTCACAATAAGTACACACAAAATCTGTGTTTTAAACATTACTTTGCTAATGAAATTAACAGCCATTTTATGCTTATTATGAACCTTTCAATGGATAGAAAAGTTATGTAAAATGAAATGTTTTATTGATATAATTCCATATGTTGCTATATCATGTTTCAGTAATAAAATGTCAAAAAGTTTTACTCTTGATTACTAGCACTCATTTCTTCTAGAGATGCCCAAGATCAAGGAGACAGAATGTGATCTGTATAAAATTTTAGAACTGACATGCAAGCTGCGTACCATATTTTTAATGCTACTCGCTGCAGTTATTAGAATTAGAAGAGAGATTATTATTATAACTTTTTAGTTTTCTCTCCCCCCCTTTTTTGTTATGTAATTTTACTTTGACTTAAATTATTTTCCGCTCATTAAATTTTTGTATGTATTAACGAAGAATTAATTTAGCAAGCTAAAGGATATTTCTAAAATAACATGTTTTGGATATTGTTGTTGTAAAGAAAGGAGGATATCCATAAACATTGTGTTTGTATTATGCAGTTTCATTTAATATGGCATGCTGTAATGAAAAGATATGAAAAAGATAATGAATAAAAAAATTCCTCCTTCTCTCCCTCCTCAGGAAATTCTTTACACTTTCGTTGTTAAAATAAAAGAAAACGTACAGAGAGGCGCCGAATTACACCCGAGACAATTAAAATTAAGCTTTCATCTGAAAGTATTCTAGTTAGGCAATTACATATTTACCCTTGAAATAATAGCAATGCAAACGTAACACTTTCCTTAGTCCGCGATTTTCGCAAGCGTCCATTCTAACTCGTAATTATGTATGCATTTCTTTTCTTTTAATTTAGGCAGAATCTTAATGTAGCATTATTAACCGTTTTAAATTTTATTTTGACCAAAATGTGAAGTATCAAATCATCACATTTTTTCAGAACGACGGCTTGTCAGAAAATGAATAGCGAATATACAAGATTGTCAAAAGACCGCAAAGAATTGTTAATCTTTTGCTATTCTACTAATTTAGTTCAGTTTATTGATCTACATTTTACAGAATTTTGAGTTTTCTTATATTGCTAGTTATTCATTCAAGTGGCTAGTGTCATTAAACTGATGGATTGGCTGACAAATTATGACAAAATATGGAGGAATATGATTAGCAAATTTCTAAATTGATATAACTTTTGCAATGATTATTCATGAAATTCTAATAGTGATCACAATTATAAATCTCGGAACACTCTACCTTACTAACATTAAATGAAATTAACATAATGATTTTTTCTGTAAAATGAATATATTCATTGCACTCTTATTTCAAAAATGTGTGCTTATAGTAAATAGGTAATAAAAATTTGCATTCTTAAGCGACGTCAATCTAATAAATCTAAAAGTCAGAAGTCCATCTTTCTTTCTTTTATTTCGAATGAAAGTTTTTTTGTGCTCGTACTGTGTTCTCGTGTCCCTTTTCTTTCTTATGTGGTTAAAAGATCTCCGTAAGCTTTAATTCGATCTTTCTGTTTTTTTTTCTCCGGGAACGAATAATACGAAATTTCATATTTATGTTCTATGGTATAAAGAGATCAATATAAAAATTATACCTAAAAACGATTTATCAGCAGATTGCTTTTTAATTTTTACAGTAGACTCTCTTTTTATCAAAAGCTGGCACCATTTCAGAGGATAACGCATAACACATGGCAAACATTTTCAGCAGTTACGAGTAAAGTACATAGGATTTAATAATTTTGCATTATAAAACTGTATTATTTAAAACAATAAGAGATATTTCAGTTTTCTAAGATCAGTATTTTTTCTTCATACTATATTTTTTGAACACTTGTTTCGTTGTAAATTTTGTATTTTCTTCTTTTAATAAGATACCATTAGTTTAAAGAAACTGCAGATAATTGATTTTCGAACTCAGTGATTGAAAGCTACTTTTCTCTGCCTTTTAGATGGGGTTAAGTACAGTTTCATTAGAAGTGGAAGTCAATATAATGAGTGTAAATTTAATAATAATAACTTTGTATTATTACTTAGAATGTCAGACTTACTGTCTTCGTCGATTTCAATGCGGAAATATAAGGGCTCGCCAATTCTAGTTCCTGTAATATCTGTGCCATTAGCATCTGTTATCCTAAGCCGGATATTTGGAGTTGGGGCTGTGGCATTGACAACTGCTGTCGCCACAGGCTCCAGTCTGCAAAAAAAAAGTAAGACTTAAGGAAACTGCGACATACTGAAAATAATAAGAATGACTTGCATTTTCAAAACTTCTAAAATATACCTAGCATTTTTTACTTTTCCACAGATCATTAATTTTTAACCCAAACAGAAATGCTTACAAATATTCTAACAATGTACCATTGTCTAAACAATCTATGCAGAAAAAATAACTACACAAACAGGATATAATTGAGCAAACTGAAAGATATCAAATTTGTAGAGCAGATATATTTTTTAAAATTTGAAATAACAGAACTTTAAGAGCAACTTAATTTCTCTAAATCATTTTAAAAATTATACAAGAAATATATACTGAGGACTTCAACATGCAATTTGAAAAAGCTATAGGAGCATTAAAAACCATTTACTGTAACATCGCAAGATAATAATTCAAATTTAATACAATAACCTTTACTTGAAAAGTTTGTATATATTCCTTAGAAAATGCTTTTTTATTAGAACCCTGACAGACTTTAATGCGCTTAACGAAGCTTGAGCCCTGACGAGTATGCCCTCATTAAGGTTCAAAGAATGCGCATTAATATAAGATTACTCTTGAAAACTGTAGAATTCTCATTGCCATTGTTTAAAAGTTTCTGCCACAACTTTGCATTTTTCATCCCTGTACTTCAGTTTTAGCCTTCTAAAGTAATACTTCGTAAGTAATAATAAGTTTGATTTTAACATATACACAGTATTCTTCTTTTCAAATGAAAATTTTTATTTTCTGCTGATTAATATAGCGGTAATTACAGCATGAATGTTTCAATGACTGTGAATATGTAATCCATTGTTACATCCAAGTAAGAGTTCCACTGAATTATTTGCTTCTACAGTAAGATGCTAGAATCACTATTTTTGCATGTATATATCAACTTATTAATGAGGATTTACTTAAACTTCTTTGTTAATCATAACTATTATAACTATTATACTACGCATATATACTTTCAGTAGCCTTGAGAACTATTAGGATGTGCAAACAACTACCTATAGTTTCCTCATAGGCAAGTGTGCTGTACAAACTCCCATGTCTACCTTGCTAACGCTTAGATCCTAACCGCTACATTAACGTGAGCCTTAAGTAATTAATTTAATGTACTGAAGAAGGTATTTAGCAAGGGAAGAAGTTGATCTTTCAGACATCACCAAAGTCTAATATTTAAAGCATCCTAAATTCCGATACCCTGAATGGATAATTCATAATCAGTTTAAATTAGGAATTAATATACTTTTAAGAAAGAGAACAAGTAAGAATTGGGGGCATCGTTTTGGGGGTTTGATCTTCCAGTTAACTAGGTGAATGCGCCACTTCACCACAAAAATGTGCGCAGGAAAAATGCTAAGTCTATTTAAAACTTATATGACAGAAAATAGTAATATTTCTATAGTTTACATTAATGATGCTCGAAGCTATTTCTTTTACTTTCTGTCTATGTATTATACAAGAAAAAAATAGGTATAAATCGTAGTATCTATGAAACAAAATTACACGTGGGGATAATATCTTTCGGTATCGTCGCTGATATTTATTACAATAAAATTTCATACGGTCTATTCTCTTGGATAAAATTATATAAAATCAATAAAACTTATAAGCATCAGCTCAATACGACTTAAACAACCTGTAATCTAAGTCGTACCACCTTAAGTCGTACTACGTTTAAAATTGGACAAATATAGTAAGACTTTCTTTTTGACAATTTATTTATTTATACAATTAATTACAACAATTAGCGCGCAGATAATTTTTTATTTTCTAGTCAACTCCAGCATATAAGTCGTGTACCCATTCCTTGCATTTTAGGCACTCAATCGAATCGCGGTCTTCCTCACAAATACGATAGGAAGACTATAAAGACTTTATTTTATTCTAACCGATTATTTTTAATCTGACTTTCCTTTCTCTCCTGATTTCAGTTTCCTGCCGGAGTGTAAATTTTAATGACGTAGTATGCAAAATCTAAGTATGTTCAGAAGCAGTATTTAAGCTGCAAGAGTTGAGTAGTAGCGGAGTTAGCTCCGAGTTTATGCTGCGTGTTTAAAATAGCTCTTTAGTTGGGTTAGGCATCTTTCAGATTATATTGATATTCTATGCTCGGCTTTGCTGTGTGCAGCCGATTTAGCGGTTTGGATAACTAAGAAGGCAGACGTTTAGCCATCCTAATTTATTATGCTTTTTACATTTTATTTTCTATTCAATTTAATTTAGCCACAAGTGGTGGTGAATTGTGAGCACCGAGTTGTTACGTTAGTTCAAATAAAAAGGTTATTTAAATCTTCTTCTGTAGTATCTATTCTTCAAGACATAGCGAGAACTCGCTACGCAGTCTTTCACGTAGGGTTTTCTGTGAATGTTAACGAAAAGACATAGAATCTACAAACCAAACACGATGTGAAACAATATGGTTGACTAGGAAATAAATCATTTTCCCGGAAGAGGTGCAGTTGGCGGGAGATTAAGCTTAATATTTAAATGGTACGACTTGTTCAACCTTACCCTATGTAAATGTGTACTGTATTTTTATATATATGTAATATACTATATTTAGTAAATGTTCAAACTGCTAGAAATATTATGCAGTTTTCTAATGAAGACGCAATAGGTAACTTTCAAAAGAAACTTGGGTTCCTTACCCTTGAGCTACTCTGAACGTTTTGGTCACTGTCCTATTTGTCTCTTCGAAAAGTGAGCAATACAACTTGATAATTCTGTCTCCTTTTTGTTGAATAAGAGGGTGATACTGGATGACAACAGTGTTTGTCAAATGATCTTCACTCTGAAATGAAAAGAAAAGAGAAGCGTAGTTACACGCCTAATTTCAAATTGTTTTTCAAAAATGAAAAGTTTGTAAAATATGTACACGTTACCAAATTTTATAATTTCAGTTCCTGCAATAGAATTCCTACAGTTTTTACACTACTAGTTATTCAAAGATGTAATAGACTTTTAACATGATCATTATAATTTGACGTTAATAAAGAAGAAATATTTAATTATTCATTTATTAAGTATGGCTAGAAACGAAAGTGTTCACCACCGTTTACACAGAAATATTCATTAGTGAACTTAAAAAGTCCTTATACACGATTCTAATTTGAAATAGGGAAGGAGTTTGTATATAAAAATACAAAAGATAACGAATAATTGCATACAAACTTTCTATTTGAAAGTCGATAAAAGAATGGAAAGCTGAGCAGCTGCATTTGCAGTAAGAATCTCGGACTTCTGCAAAATTACTCCTCGTAAAAGAAATTGTATTTTGACGGTAGTTTTGTAAATGCGAATAATGCAAAATATAAAAGAAAGCTTTTAACTTGATGTCATCGTACATGTACTACAATACATCTGCTTTTTATTCTTGTAAGGTTTTATAGATACTACTGCAAAACAGCGCATTGAATTCGATTCTAAAATTAAAGAAAAGCACACTACCATAATTTGGGCCAAGAGCCCTGCCCTGTAGCCATATAACAGAAAATTATAATAATTATTCTTTACCTATGTATCAGTTTCAAATTCGACACCAACAAAAATAATTAATATAAATTAATATAAAATGTTTCTCTTCTTACTCTGTATTGAATAAATAATTCGATTTTGAGATACATCCTTACAGAGTTCTTATAATATCATTAATATTGTTATTATATTAACTACCAAAATGTGGTTTTGAAAATTTTAGAAAGGCCACGATTTATTTATGTTCAGATAAGAAGACAAGTTTATCTTATAAAATTGCTGTTGAAATAGACTTGAATTATTTTCAAATAACTTTATTATTTTCAAATTATCGATTAAAAATATTATTTTCAAATATCTTTCAAGTTAAATAGAATTTTAAATGCATCTTTTGGATGGGTAAAAACATCAATAGTTTCTGCGTCTTTTTATGAAATGAAAATAAACACGTGTATGTGAAATAAGTGTGAAAATATGATCCTGTGTGACAATTTAAGGAAAATAACTTGATTCCTTAGCTTGAATAGTAAAGTTGCTTTACCTTTTTTTCGATCTTAAAAAGAATTTCAAATTGAAATAAGTTTTCCTGTTAAATTTGTCAAAATATGAGCTCATCTACCAATTGACTGTAAAAACGATTTTTGATTTGTGGGAAGATTAATGCTGTTTGAAATACTTTACGAAGCTCCTTTCGCGGTAATTTATCCTTTTCAGCATTGTATTAAATATAATATCTTGCGAAACTATTAACCTGCCTCCTTTTTTTTTGTAATTTTATATTCATATTTGTATTTTATATTAACAATACGTTTCATCATTTATATAAGTATGAAAAATAGATCAAATAGGAAATTTTTCTGTACGTTTTCCGCAAAGTAATATTTTAGAAGTATGTTAACAGCCAAGTCATGTCATAAATGCAGCATAAATGTTTTAATGCAGAATTTTATTACTTTTGTCAGTAATGTGTTCTATGGTGTAATGTTTCTGTTAATTTACGACAAAATCTAATTATTCTATTGCAATTCTCATTTTGACATCAAGATCCAATAGACTGATATTATTTTGATGTCACCCAGACGTTTCTGATTCATGTGTAATAAATATTTCTGCACTTGCACATCAAAGCGAATGTAAAGTAAGCCAAGCATTTTCATGAAATTCGATCTTTTCAAATCACTAATAATGATTATTACCTGAATCTTTGCACCAAGAGTTCATATCGTCAATCAGCCTTGTGCCAAAGATGTTTATTATTCGAAGATATTTATAAATAAAATTTATTTCTCATATAATTTTAAGTTTATTGTTTTGATTCAAAAACCTTATTTCCTCAAATACTTTTTCAGATTTTTTAAATATTAAATACCGGAAAAATTTACTCAATTTCGCTTCTTTATTTCCTCAATCAAAAAGAGCTAAACCAAAACAATCTCTTCTCTACGCAATTTTGCTTTCAATAACATCAGTTTAAAACACATCACATGTGCAAGATACCTATATTCACTACATAATGTCTCTAACTAATCTATGCATTCCATCTTCTTTTCAATAACTGGAATGAAATTCTTCGTTATATAATCGAGTTCATTATTTTTGGAACTATTATATCATAACAATTTTATTAGTTTGCTGAAATAAGGTTAAAACTCAGACGAAATTCATTTGAAAACAAACTCTGTTTTGTGAGATTAATGCCTATAGAGACATCACTTAAACTATAACTAAATTAAGAATGGGATCATAGAGAAACAGAACTTGATGCAAACGGCATTCAATACATGCTATAAATTTTTTCCATTGCATTGACTGTAGTAAAATTTTCCATCAGCATTACTTCAAACTGCAAACTTTAAAAGTAAAAATGAAAACCTTTTGAAATATATTTAGAACTCATTATATCTGAACAAATGAGAATTTTTATGTTGACTTTGCATTATTTCATAGGATGTTGTTCAGTTATGGCTACTTCACAGCATAAATGGCATCTAAAAAATCTAGGTAATTATAGTCTAAACGTGATTTTTCTATTTACCTGTATAATTACATAATTGAAACTGCCTATGAATTTTTAATGCTGCTTGCAAAATTCAGTTAGTTTCCTTTCTGTTGTACAGATCGAAATGATACCGTATATTTAGTATTTATCAAGCTTTACATAAATCTGATACATATTGCGAACGTTAATTTAGAGAATACTTATTAATTTTTAATTAATTTTTTTCAGGTTCGTTTGAACAGCAATGCTTCCCTCCTGCGATTTCGTTATGATGTTTTTTTATGTACATGTGAAGCTGATAGAGCAAGAATGTAAAACATTATATGGATCTCTGAATGTTTAGTTCAGTGACAACAATCCAAAATACATAAATACATGTCTTCTAGACGCATGAAATCATCATGTATTTCCATAGGGAACATTTTTGTGTCATATTATAGAGCTACTATTTAAGAACTTGTTGATATTTGCTATAAATAGAAATTAGTTTTAATAAGCTATAATAATGCATTTGAAAGTACCTGACTTAAATCCTTTGCGGTTGATTACTTTGGTATTTTAAATCACTAGAGTTATCTTATTAGAATCACTCGAACTCAGAATCAGTCTGACTCTTCCATGGATACACTACTAACTAATTAATTAATCATTTATTTACTAACTAATTAATTAATGTAGTTTATAGTCTAATTAATTACTTACTAATTATTTAGTTTTATTTTGAATGAAAGTTTAAGATAAAGCTAAATGAACTAGGAATAAGAATGAGATATACTTCTAGTTCCACTCCACATTGTCCTTTGACATCCATGACGAATCGGGTGACAGTTTGCTTATCGCCGTAAACTTGACAAGAGTAAGGTTTCTTCTGTGAATAGATCCGGCCGTCAAATGGTTCCCTCGTTTTGAGTACTAGCTGCATTGTAGTGTCTGTGCACGTTAATTTCACTATGATAGTGAAAAGATAAGAATTAATTTGATTGCAGCTGTGATGAAAAATTAGCATTGGAATTGAAATCCTTTATCGAATAAAAGACAAAATTCACATCTATTTTTACTTTATTGTAAGAAGAAGGAAGCGTACGATTGCGAAAAATTTTGGGTTTCAGATTTCAGTGGAAATATCCATTTTGACTATATTTTGAGTGACGTCTGTACATATGGACAGACTCATTATTCCAAAACGTATTTAAATTGGATTTGACATGGATTATTTCATGAAATACGTACTTACGTATTTATCTCGTATAACGCAACGATTAGCCGTAAAACAATGAACGTTTTGTATATGGGAATGCTATAACAAACGCTTGTACACCTCCCTTATATAAGGGGATGGGAAAGGAGTAATGGGATGGGTGTGTATATATAGATATATATATATATCTATATATATATATATAGAGAGAGAGAGAGAGAGAGATACTCATTCTCTTACCCTGCTTGAAAGTCTTACCCGATCTGTATTTCTGCAACTGTTGTTCTAGGCAAACATTTCCAGAAGTGTTTCAAATGACGAAAATATTCATGTTTTGGCAATTTAAAATTTAATAATATGTGATGATGTGAATATTACATGACTTCCTTGTACAGCCTATTAAATTATGCACATCTTTTGTTGCATTTCATTTAAACTCATTTTCTCGAATTTCATTTAGAGATATAATTCTCATTCAATTAATTCACTTCAAGACAAGGCAAAAATACATAAAAACTCAAAACATTTTCTTTAGAAATTATAAAATACAGAGAAACCTAAAACGCCAAATACAATTAAAACAGTTAAAAAAATTCTAATTAAAATTATAGTTTCTACGCAAAAACTAACAATTCAGCCAGCGGGAAGAAAGACAGATTTTTCAGTACACAAAGATGAAAATTTACTTTTGGTCCTGTTCGGCAAAAAGACAATGAAGTTGGCGCACGATCTGACTAAATTCACTATTCTACTAAGAGTTTCAAATGTAAATAAATGGCGGCCTCGTTAGGCTTAAAACCACTTAAACTTTTAAACTGTTAAGAATTCTGCAACTATTGCGTGCAGAATAACTTAAGGTATAAACCCCTTAACCGAAACATTTGAACAACATAATTCAATCACTTTTAAAGCAAAAAGTTCAAGTCACTAGTTTTTGATTGCTCTATGGCATGGCACATCACAATGGGGCCAATCTGCACTCCACAATTTTGTATAAGGACGCATTGCATTTTTAATAGAAGCAACCAAGCAAGAGACGCCCTTTAGCTACCAAGCCTAGACAGAGAAAGAGAGTGGGTACTAGGATTGCAACGGTATTTATGGTAAAAAAATTATTTATATTTATTTGATTGGTTAAAACTTATAGGCTATGCAGAAGTTTAAGATGACATAATTCGGAATTAGTTTTCAAATATGGCACAGTCTCCAGAAAGTTATTACTAGAGAGGAAGCACCCAAATTAAAAATGAGCAATTTAGAAGGTTTTAAATTATAATTTTGATTTGCATATTTTATTCTTACACACACACACACAAACATATATATATATGCAGAATCGGTACTTACTGTCTAGGAATATGATGTTCGCAAACTTACTTCTTAGGTGGCTGTCTAGGGGCTAATAAACTAATCCGATTTATGTAAAACTTGAATATTTAATGAAACATGAATAGTTGCTACAAACTACAAAGTAATTACATACATAGAAGGAAATAGATGAGATTATTTACAAATGAAGAGAAGGAATCGTATTTTATAAGCAAACATCTTTGAATCGCGTCATCGTCTTAATGGCGGAATCGTCTGACTTCTATCATCGGAAAAGTAAAAGATTTATTTTCACAGCTTGTCGCGTCATCTGATTATAATGAACGATGCCATCCCACAAATGCTCGTCCATCCTGATGGAATGCGGCTCGCATTCTCGTAGCACCACCATCTACATCTAGGGATCTGAAAAATAAAATTTAAAAAAATAAAAAAAAAAAAAAAGTTTTTAGTTACTATTGAGGGAAAAGTCGTCTTAAAAGGTTTATTGCCATCTTTTCTCATCATCTTAACATCTACAGAAATAACGGCGTTAGCTCTTCTTAAATGCTCTTTCAGTGTTCGTTCATCTTGAACAGTCTATCTGAATACATGTAATTCCCAAACACGTCTTACTTTCATGTTGTCTGGAACAATTCGTCTAGATTCGTCTTCGTATTTACGTCTTCTTAAACATCGTCTGAATACGTCTTCTGAATGCGTCTTTTTAGATACCGTCTGGATACGTCTTCTGAATGCGTCTTAGATATCTTCAAGATCCGTCATTCGAATGCGTCTTCTCAAAATCATCTTCTTTAAGCCCTCTTCCTTTATACATTTCATCCTTAGACATCATCTTCAGTCTTCTTAAATTAGTTCACGTCTTTAAAATAATAGTCCATTAGTCAAATCGGGAGAAATTCGTCTAGTCGAGAAAAAGTCTAAATCAGGAATCATCAAAATCGTTATTTCATTATCAAAGATTTTCGATTTTTTTCCTGGGTCTTCTGAATCTGCTTTTTCGCTTCTTTTTTCTCATCTTCTTTCATTTCTTTTGTTCCGTCTTTGCTTTCCGTATCAGCGTCGTTGTGATCAGGTTTTCTGACTGACTTCTGCTTTTCCTTCTCTTTTCTCTCTTCTTTCGGTGGTCTCTGTAGTCTTCTCTTCTTCTTCTTCGTGTCTCTTTTTTCTTCGTCTCCAGTGGCTTCTTTTGTTTCTCTATTGCAAGGTATTTGACTGAAATTGTTCTAGTAGTAGAATTCGCATTTGTTTCATCATCTTTAGCAAATGACTCTTGTTCGGAAAAATGATTCTCTTCAGAATCTCCTTCTGCAGTGTCTTTCTCCTCGTTGGCTTCGAAGCTAATTGTACTGTGCTTGAGTTTCCTTTTTGCTGTAATTCAAATTCATCTTTAATAGCATCATTTTCACTTATATCAGAATCTGCATCACCCGAGACGTCGTCAGAATTCACAATCAGGAAATCATTGCCACTTGCTTTGATTGTAGAGGAAATGTCCAGTTTGATCACATTCTGTGCTGTAACAGGAACTATACTAACAGGATCAGTTTCTGGTTTTGGAAGTAAAAAGCCATAATTAACAACTTTTTCAAAACCTTCTTCAGAACCATTTCCATTGCAATAAGCATTTTTTTGCTCTTCAGAATCATTCTCAGATTTCTTGTTTTCTGCGATAACACAAATATTTGATCTAAATGAAGAACCATCAATTTGGAATTCACCTTCAAATCTCTCTATAGGTTTGTTGCCAAATTCCGTTAACTGTAGCTCTGCCGACTTAAGTTCAGGAGAACCTATCTTCTTATATATATCTTCTCGGATTAACGTTACCTGACTACCAGTATCTATTAAAGCATCAATCTGCAAATTACCCAAATTAACAGTTTTATGCATTTCTTTCTGACAAGTCTGAGTTTTTGGAGTAACAGCTTTGGCACCTTGGATATTTTTAGATGATGTTTTCGAACAATCTAAGGCTTTGTGTCCAAACAAATTACATTTAAAACACTTAAATGCTTTACTCTTATTGTTACATGAGTTAGATTTATGACCAATACTTCCACAGTTATAACACCTTGGTTCCTTACTCTTAGGTATAGTGTGTGCTTTATTTTGTATGTTAGTACTTGAATAACCCTTATTCTTCGTATCTGGAACGCGAATTTTCTCATATATTTTTAATTTCTCTTTGAATTCAGAAATAGTTTTACACCCATACAAAATAATTTTGTCACTACACTGATCTGGTATCCCATTGATTACATAATCAAGAATTGATGAATCATCAACAGAACCGCGACTGGCTATTTCACGCATGGCAATTAAATATTCGGAAAGTGATTCACCAGGTTTTAAGTGTCGTTTCTGTAACAAATTATGAAGTTGTGCACTGTTTATTTTAGAACCAAATTCAGATAAATGATTTTCCTTTAATTTGTCCCATGATATTATACCCTTCAAAGACCTAATAAATACTTTAGCAGAACCAGTAAGCAATTTTTTAGCAAACACAATTTTCTGTAATTGCGATAACTTTATGTATCAGTGCCATTAAATTCAGAAACATTTTCTAAGATATCACGAAAATGTAGGGAATATTGCTAGACATTATAATGTTTTCATTCACTGAGTTATTTATGGGAGGTGATTCTGACCGAACAGAATTAATATCATTTTTATCAGAATCATAAACACTTTCGTTTTCAGATAACTCATCATCGTCATCACTTTCGGATTTTAAAAGCTTAAAATCACAAAGACTATTCAATATTAAATCACAGTTTTTATCAGGATTTGAATCATAATTAAGATGTAACAAATTACACACAGAAATAGAATCATTTGCAGTAAGAGTTTTAAGTAATTTTTGTTTTGTTTCTTCAATATTAAAATCAGATGGAAAACCACAAAAGTTACGCAATCTAGCTCTATTTTTTCGATCATCCAATTTATTATTATTATCCAAAGTTCCAAGCACAATTTGATGTAAAAGTTTAATTGACTTAGTAGGTCCAGTCTTTAAAGAATTTGAAATTGTAGGAATAGAATTTAAGGTAGTCATCTTAATTCACAGTATCATAGAACACTATTCTTAGAAGAAACAATGTGGAAATAATCGAAACAAAACTTACTTCTCTTATTTTGTAATATTCATAATGCTTCTTCCTAGGCTCATCGCGGCCTGAGTGCCCAAATCTGTAGAATCGGTACTTACTGTCTAGGAATATGATGTTCGTAAACTTACTTCTTAGGTGGCTGTGTAGGGGCTAATAAACTAATCCGATTTATGTAAAACTTGAATATTTAATGAAACATGAATAGTTGCTACAAACTACAAAGTAATTACATACGTAGAAGGAAATAGATAAGATTATTTACAAATGAAGAGAAGGAATCGTATTTTATAAGCAAACATCTTTGAATCGCGTCATCGTCTTAATGGCGGAATCGTCTGACTTCTATCATCGGAAAAGTAAAAGTTTATTTTCACAGCTTGTCGCGTCATCTGATTATAATGAACGATGCCATCCCACACACACACACACACACACACATATATATATATATATAGCAGTCCCATATACAAGATTTCACCGTTTTAAGGCTTTTGGGTTATGTGAGATACATATAAACGTACGAACTTACGTACAGACGTCACCAAAAATTCTCTTCTGAGTCCATTTTAAATCCATTTTACAATCCGCTTTCGGAAAAGAGTCCTTTATTCTGTCCGTACATACACATGTTATGCAAAAATATTGTTCAAATGGATTCGAGAGCGGTCAAAAGAGATATTTCGTTGAAATATGATACCCGAAATTATTCGCAATTACAATGCTTGGTTTACTTCGTACACGGAGTAAAAAAAAAATTAATTTCAAATAAATAACGTAAACTAACTTTTAAGCATTCAGTAATATAATTGTTTATTCGTACGTAAAGTTGTAGATATCACTCTAATTCTGCTTACATAATTATCTTAAAAAGGGTAATGAAAATTAAATGTACAGAAGAATTTCAAAAGTTAGTTAATGAAACGCTAATTTTGGCGAAAGCACTAATAGTCAGCATATTCTCTTGGCAATAACCCTCATCTAGTGAAAGCTTAAATAAAGTCTTTCTTCAATTATGAAAGCTTAAATAAAGTCTTTCTTCAATTATTTATAATTGAAGAAATGAAAATAATAATTGAATAAATGAACATAATAATTGAAGAAATGTAAATAAGCTTCGGCATAGTTGAGGTAATTATCTTTCTTCTTGGATTTAAATCCCGGACGTGCTTATTTTATCCCAGAATTTGCTTATTTTATAAAAGTAGATATGATCATGAATTAATTTTTGAGAAATAATTTTAACCCTCGATTAAAGCAAACTGATATATATAAATTAATTAAACTTAAAAACATCAAATTTTTATTTAAAAAAAAATATTTATTTTTTTCTCCTATTAATAAAGATCTCTACCTCATCGGGATGACTTTCGACCTAAGGTCTTGTAAACCAACCGGATTTGAAGTCATCCCAACGGGTACTTGTTATGTTTTAGTAAAAAAAATGTTAGATCAACATAGAAGGCCATAATTGTTTCTTACATTTTTATAACATACTGAATCTGTAATGCTTTGAGCGATACATAATTTTGCAACAAATATTTTAATGCAAAGCTAACTCACTGTCTTATGTCGAAGGTATCTGGTAAAATAGTTTAGGCAGAAAAAATGCAAATTTTTTCTAATTTGAATCGGAATTTGTGAAGGTTCTCTAATTTTTGAATCTATCGAATCCTTCATATGAAATTAAAATGAAAATGAAAAAAAACTTTTACCTTCTAATTAAAGCAAAATTCGGAAGTTACCTGAAATGAAGACCAAATTGACGAATGTAGTTTTGATGCAGCTGTAATTATTAAGATGTAACTAAATTTTTATTAGGTGCATAATTAAAACTCTAGAAAGGAAGTACATGATTAAAACTTTTAAATCCTGAAGTTCATTTTCTCAACATGATTTTTCAAAACATGTTTCAGTAGTAGTTTATATTTCATACTTCTTTCCAGAATCTCTTTCGAAACAATCAACAATGTGTTACTTTAAGAGTTGATGAAAGCATTAAATAGTGCCCAAACAAAAAAACCTTTAAAAATATTTGTTTAAGAAACCTAAACTTCCAGCTCATTCTGAGACCAGCAGACTTCTTTTTTTTTTTTTTTTTTATTAAACGTGATGCTTGATGCGTTCGGTAGTTTTATGACATTTTTATAGATAATGGCGTGGATAAGATAATTTTAGAAAGTTTCTCAAAGTTTTCGTTGTTTTTATAATGAGCATTTTTAAATGCACATCAATAAAGCTTACGTTTCTTTGCTGAAAATGCTTACCAGATTTTTTAGGCTAAGATTCAGAAGGTTCAAATGGTACAAACTTGATGATTCTAATTTTTAATTCTGCAATCTCTTTCACTATTCGCAAATTCTGAGGATTCGTATGATTGACCTTTATAAAACTGTCATAAAAATTTAGGATTTTCCACTTGTCCATTAAAGTAATAACAAATACCAATTCCAGTACTCTGAAAAAATGGCTAAGCCTTTTGCATTTAAATTTGAAATGCGGTGTGAAATGGGCAAAAAATGATAATTTATATTTCAAAGAAGAAACACTTAAGGGAAAAATAAACTCAGGAATAATGAAGACTTCATAGTTTTAAAATAAGTGCAGCAGATATTTTTACCATCAATAGCAATTCGACGAGCATATCAGCTTGATTTAATTTAATTGCACCTATTTCTCATAATATGTATAAATATTTTACGAAATTTAATTTCAGAAGATTTAAATCGTTCCTTCTTGTTTAGAGAAGAAAAAAAATTCCCACCATCTACTCACGATCCAAACAATTTGACCTTTGATAATAGGATGTTCCCATTCTCCTCCTTGCAGCACTAGAACCCATGTTATATGTATCATCGCTGCTTAATTTGCACGTAGAGCTTCCTTGTCTAAAGCTGTAGGAATGGCATAAAAAGTTTTGAGTAGAATCACACAACTGTTGGCATTCAGCTTGGCTTGAAGCAGTTAAGGCTGCATCCACACGCTCGATATCAGTGTCTAGTTTTTCTTCGTAATCACATCCACTGCTGCCATCTGTAGAACACATTCATAAAAAATTTTGATTAAGAAAAGCTATTATAAACATCAATACTTAAACATTTATTTTTAACCTAAGGTACGTTTAGCAATAATACTTCAATTTCCTTTTTACTTATTTTATTTTTAATGTCAAATATTAGCTTTAATCTTCTTTCTGTTATTAATTATTTGTCTACAAATCCATTATCTCTTAAACTAGTGCTCTTACTTAATACTTTTTTTTTGTAAATACTCATTATGAAAACGTATTCTAAAGAAACTTGTTGTATCATATTCTGTAGACCCTTATATTCTATCAGTGAGTAACTTCTTTAAAGAAATTATATTTCCAAAGAGTTACAGTTAATAAAATTAGCTTAAAAGGTCCAAAATCCAAAATACCGTTTTTTGCATACGAAATTTGCCAGGTTTTGTGAAATGTACAACGATGACAGCTTTAGTAAATTAATTAGATATTTTTACTGCGGTTAACTCAACCTGTATTTGAACATCAGGGAAAAAAATCGAAATTACCTGGAACGCACTGATTCTCAAAATAATCAACATCACCAAAAGCTGGTCGAAAAGATGAAGGCTGGGATCGTCTGTCCTCGCTGCTGAGCCGACATTGTTGGAAGGCATAGTCATATTCTCCAGATCGACAAATGAATCCTTTCTCTCTCAGACAGAGTTCTTCACATTGCAAGCGGGTACCTACACCCGGTATTGTTCGATCATCAAATCCAGAGATTTCGTAGTTGATTACTCTTTCGAAAGTCCACAAACGGTTGCAACGAGGAGCTAAAAAAGGAATAAATATATTCAAACTTGACACAGTTTGGTTTTTGAATAGTTTATCACCTGCAAGAAATTAAATCCTTAAAAGTGTTTGGAAAGTAAAGAATTTATTTTGATAAAAATGGTTTTTCTTTTGCTAAGGGATATATATGGTAATGGAGCATAAACTTCGGGAGTGCGAGGCTGATGATAACCTGAGTAGGTAATGACGTGAGAAACTTGAAGTTCCGGATTTAAAGTTAACGAATCATGTCCTAAGAATGAACTGAATGCGACTGAATATAATTGTTTAATATGATGTATGTATTCCTTAAATAGTATTACGATCTATTGTGTCTCATTCACAAATTTAATTTGCCTTTCAAAATTGTTTCTGAAAGTTTGCCATTGATAATTGTTCCAATGTTTAGATTCAAGAAGTAATTTGCCAGTGGTTAATGAAATTTTAAAATAACTTATCTTTAAATTTTATAAGTTTTCATTTAAATTTTATTTCTGAAATAAAGAAGTTTAATTACCGATTTCGTCTTACAAATAACACTTGCCATCTGCAAAACTGTACGCCTGAAAAATCGCATTTGGTTTTCGCTATGGCATGTATATATTTCACTTTACTTCATTTCCGAAATTACGGCTATCTTTACCATCCTCTTTTTTTTAGCATCGTCTCTCCCGCCCTCGAGCGAACTCTTAAGTGGTACGCTTCTAGGCTAAGGGGATACGAGACATTTACGCTATGGCATATGTAAAAACTTCTAATATGTTCTTATCACTGCAATCTGTAGGTGATCTCAATATCAACAGCATGAAAGCAAGTATATATATTGCGTACGAATACTAGCTTTACTACAAAAGTTAAGTCACTGTCGACTAGATCAATGTAAAAATTTTCAGGAAGCTTCAAAGATAGACAATAAAAGAAGTCAAAAATGTTCATGACTAGATTGCCTGAATGAATAGCAAATAATTTAAACTTGCATTTCAAGAAACTTACATGAGTTCGAAGAAACTTTATATTCTTATATTTAAAACTTAAATGGCAGCAATTATTGCTTAGATCAAAGATAAAGAATTGACTTAACTAGGTAAAAATAAATTAGCCTAACGGCTGTACAGTTCAAGTAACGCGCAAGTTGATTCTGACATAAAGGTCGGTGTGAAGAGCCTAATAGCTAGAATAATGCAACGCCGCAGAATACGATTTTCAGAAGAACTGAAATTAGCAAAGTGGCTTTCTGCAGGAAGAAAACCGTCTATTTCTACTCACACTCTCTTCTTTATATCTCATTTGAATATCGCGCCAACTAGAAATTTGCATTCTAGCAGGAAAATGAGAATAAGGAGGCTAGGAAAGTTGATTAAAATAAAATAACTGGTTAAAAACTAAATGATACCTTACAATGTAAATAAACGTTTTAAGGAACAGCTACAAAATTAATAATGAATACAATTTTACACAAACTGAACCATTAAATATTAAAATGAGCAACATTTCTTACAGCTTTTCTTAAATTTGTTCTCAAATGTCTTGCAATGTGTCGGTAATAAGCATTGAGAATTTATTCAAGTCAGCATATTTATCTCGAACATCACGAAGAATGTAGCAAGTAAAGGTTTGGTTCTTGGTTTTTAATTAACTAAAGGATACTGAAACTTTTGCTGACTAGAAATCTTACTGTACAAGGCCCATATGATAAATTAATTTTTATACAACTTTTCGTCATCACAATGTTAAAAACTGCTTTAATAAAATTATTTTACTCTTAACCTAACAAATAATATTTAATGAATACATTTTTCAATGCAATAATCAATACAATACGCATTAATACAGTAATAAATATCCTAATACACACTTAAAAGAAATTGTGGAATATTTAGAATTAATATTTACAGAATGGAGTGTTTAGGATCAATATTTAGAGAAATAAAGTCTACAGCCACATTTTTCGAATACACTTCTGATAATTAATTTAATAAACAATTCATCTTCCGTTTTCCTTTTCCAGATAAATCTGATTCAAGGCACTTTTATACACTACTCTATCACTGCATACGGCTATTAGCTCACCTGATAAACAGATTTTTTCGAAGTAACTGGTCGATGAGGGTGGTGAGGAAGTAGCGATGTCACTCCGCCTTCCTTCGGATGTTACTGTGGTCTTCATACAGTTCTGTGCTGTATAACTGAGTAACAAAGAGTTGCAGTCTCCTAAAGCACGACAACGAGCCAAACATTCTTTGGTAACTGAGGGTTCTCCTTGAGTTCCCTTGTAAAGAGGATTTAGACGAACACCTCTCAAGGATGCTCCAGCAACTTTCTCGAAAGATGTTGATCCCAAGGGACATTGGCCTAAATGTAAAAGAGATACGTGCTAAGTTTCCATAAACAAATAAATTAATGTAAATGCCTTGTATTTTCCAAAATTGTATATACTCTGATTAAACATTTCGTTGGAGGACCTTTCAAGTTGCTAATACTAATATTCTGTTTAAAAAAAAAAAAAAAAAGGCCTTTTTTTTTTTTTTTCGATTCTTAGGGAAAAAAAGACATTCGACACTTTATTTTATAGAAATAAATAGACACTTTTTTCAATTTAGAAACACCCAGAAAATTCGCTTTTGCCTTAAATAAAGAAGATCCTCTTTTTTAAAATTCCTACTACTAGCTCACAGTCTCTATATATCTTGTTCAAATTTTCAATAGTTAATAAAATAACTTTTATTCATCTACTGAAGTTCAAATACATTTTTTTAAACTTGTAGTGGATGACACTTGATGTTGATACATTTTTTCACATATTAAATTTTTTTTCAATTTTTAATTTAATTTTATTTTATTTTATTTTTATTTTTTTTATTTATTTATTTTGTATTTTTAGATGTTTCTTTGTTGACCTAAATAGGAATTGACTTTATATATATATATATTACTCGATTTTCAAGAACATAAGTTATAAAGTCCAAATATCTTGAACTTTCTGAAATGAAATATCAGATAACTTTTATAAAATACAAACTTTTCAACCAAAATGTTTAACAAAACACCAGAGGGTTAACAAAAACAACATCTTAGTTGGAGATGGACATCTCATTCGTACAATCCTCACTTCCTCAGAGTCGCAATGTTAACACAAGGCTTCTATATCGGACGTATTCCATTCGGCAATTGGGAAATAAGGGCCACTGGCATGTGACTTTATAGAAGTTTGAGAAAATGTAAATAATAAGTAAGAACTGGAATGAATTATATACAGATGCAACTTGTAAAACTGAGAAATGAAAATGTTTGTGATATATAGATATATATATATCACAAACACTTTCATATATATATATATATATATATATACTAAAGAAATATTGATTATATTATCTCCTGATAAATTTAGTAAAATGTATCAAAAAGAGGGAACCCACATGTAGGAAATTTAATTCCGAAAATTGTGTTTTAAATTAACTTGAATGTAAATCATGAAAAAAAAAACCTTTTTAAGGGGAATTGAATTTAGATCATGAATAACAAAATTTCAAACTTCAAAAAAGTAAAAAGCAAGTAATTATCGCTATTTATCAGAAATTAGTTGTCTTTTCAAGGGGAACAAAACAACTCCCGTTCAATAAACAATAATTAATAAATGCGAAGGTGTTTCGTCTTTTACTCATATATATATATGTGTGTGTGTGTGTATGTGTATACATATATTCATACATACATAAGTATATTATGCCAGAGATGGCGTAATCTTTTGAAAAACAATTTATATTTTTCGATAATTATTTATATTTCTACACTATTCTTGATGACAAGCAATTGATATTTCTAGAGGAAGTAATCAAACTTAGACATGAATTTTTCCCTGGAGTAGAAATGTGCATTTATTCGAAAGGTTATTTAAATGATAAGAAATCTTCAGTAACATATCATTTATTCCAAGTACAACTTTTTATTTTTTAATAAACTGCTATATTTAAGAACATTCAGTAATAAATGTACTGAATTATTTAAATTTTCTGCTTTCTATAGTTTGATTTTCTAATTTATTCCTTATGTTATATTTACATTAGGTATTTTGGAAGCTGGAGTGATGAAAAATGAGCAACGCCTTCGCCGTGAATCGAACCACGGACCTCTGGATACGCGCCCAGCGTGCAAACCACCACACCACGAAGGCACAGCGGCCACCCCCCCCCCCCCCCCCCCCCCCCCCCCCCCCCCCCTACCACCCACCCCACGCACGGCAAACCACCACACCACGAAGGCACGCTAAGAAGGCGGGGGGAAATACCTTATAATGTTTACATCGGGTTTGTCTTCAAATATTTCCTTTCTTAGATACGTTTCTGTTGCTTCCTTTTTATATTACTGAAATTTCCATTAAATAAAGTTCTTATCATCATTTGAAGTACACAAAGTGTGTACAGGGTTACATCAAAGTATGTAAGTGGTTGTCATATCCATTCCCTATCAGAGCCGTGCCAAGATAATTTTCACCTGAGGCAAAAAGGTAAATGAGCGCCGCTATATATATATATACTCGTACATATCAAAATAGCTATATTTGTATTAAACAAAAGTAAATGTATTAAATCAAAATACAAAAAATTCTTATAATATAATTATATAATTCTTAAAGTATTTTTAATCGTAGCTTTATAAATTCAGAAAAATAATATAGCCAATTATTTATAACTTTCAAATGAAAATGCTAAAAAATGCTTTTTTGATAAATAAGAAATAACATCGAAATGCACATTGCATTAATTTCCAGGTTTTCTTGCAGTTCTTCCTATTGCTTTATTACTTTAAGTTTGCGGAAGCTAATTTTCCCTAATAATAATTGAAAAATTTAAAAACATAATTAAAGTAATTTTCGAATTCGCATGGCCAATTTGGCGCCCCTTTTAGTGATTCACCTGAGGCAAGTGCCTCACTTGCCTCACTCTTGTCCCGGCTGTGTTCCCTATTAATATTTGCCATTTCTGATATAATTTCTAATTCTGTATGTAGAACACAAAAATTTTTAGATTACAGAGAAATGGTAATTCCCATTCGACATCGCATTATGCTCTGATTAGGTTAATGATGAAGTCAAAAGCGTTTGCTCAAAGTTTCAAGTTTTTTTAGTTTACATTGCGAGGTTCCAAAGTCTATCTTTTCGCATTTTGAAGTTGCATTTGTGAAAATATTTATTTGATATATCGAACAAAGATTATGAGTGCAATTCTATATGAATGTTTCTACATTTATGTCTTTACAAAAAACAGAAATGGTTTTGGTTGTAGTACAATGCTTAACAGCACATAGCAGGATAATACATAATAACTATAACGTAATGAGTATAAATACGAAACATGTGCATCGCAAAGCCTTGTTCTTATTTCCGCCTACATAAAAGCGACGCGCAGTTTGAGGTGCTGTTGTGCAGAAATACACTTTAGTGTATTTCTGAAAAAGTGGTATGTTTAAAGAAATGAAATAAAAACAGAACCATCTATTATAAGCATGATCTCAGATTTCTTTGACTTTTTTCCCTGGTGAAAAAGCACATTATGTTAGTATATAAAATATTACGATAAATATAAAGTTCAGGAGACAACCCACCGAAGAAAATTGCCCATAAAGGGCAGTTTAACTGGGCTTGCGTGGACTAAACAAAGTCGAAATCATAAACAGTCATGCATAAGGCGCTTTAATTGAATGCCAAGAAGTTGACAAGGCTTTCTGTTGAACAATTGACGTTATTGGTGACGCATTAGAGTACACAGTTCGTTTATTATTTCACGTATTTCAGGAAAAAAAAAAAAAAAAAAAAGATAAATTTCAAGACCAAAAAGTATTTATTTTTCAAGACAGAAAATGGCCAGTATTCTTTATAAAAGTGTGGCAAAATCAGCATTTAATAAACATGAATGTTGTCCTCTGTATAAAGTTATGTATATAAAAAGTAATAAAATGCATAACATTGTTCAAACCAGAGATTAAAGCAATGTTCAAAATAGTAAGGTAATATATAGTTTAAGCGGCGTTTTAGACAAGTAATAATATTCTTTCACATAAGCAAACTTTGGCCACTGATGAATACTATGTGAAGCACTGATCTGAATGCCAAAAAACAATTTAAAATCTCATCATGATTTGGATGAATGCAAGCACTCCCTGTCGCTGACAATAACAGAAATCTGTACTTCTATAATACAAGCAAGAGGTAGCATTTAACTGAAAGCATTGTTAAAATTACATCTTATAATACAAATAAAATTAACTATTGTTGTTTGCAAGGTTTTCAGGACCAGGGCTTAAATTCTGAAAAGAGAGCCCTATGGAAGACTGCGAGGAACGAAGGAAAAATAAATAAATGAAATAACCAAAAATTTAAATAATCAAATTTTAATTTTAAAAATGTAAAAAGATAAACAGAAATATTATAATGAATCATTAAAATCATTTTAAATAGTTAAACAAAAAATTGGATCTTGTCTTATATAGGGCTGCGTAAGATAATAACGTCAGATAACAGCTGGAATTAAAATTCCATTTCAAACCTAAGATGCAGCTCAGCTGATCTCCGTCAGAATTTAAACCCTGATTATATGATTAATGTACTATTTCAAGGAATGACAGATACAAAACCATTCTTTTTCTTTCCAGCCAATGAAAATTGATAAAACGATTAAAGCGTCACTACGGAAAATAGTGTTCTCACTATTCAAGAAAAATATGAGGATATGGAAGGAATTTTAATGGAAAAGTGTAGCTTTGAAAATAAAGAGGGAAGAATCCAAGACTTTCTGAACATGATGCTCTCTCAATATTATTCTAACCGTCAAGCAAGAATTTTCCCAGAATGCGATTCGATAACAACGTGAGAATAAACGTAAGACTAATCTGGTACAAGTGACAACAATGGTCCTCACGTTTGGTTACATCCTTCAAAAAGCCTATAGGAGCTCCGCAGTAGAAATCATTAGAGTGTTACGTGTATGACCAATGTGGTCACTTTAGTACTTTCAGGAACGAGAACTTCACGTGCCCTCATAAATTTATTGCACATCCTGGAGAATAAGCCTTTGAGATGTGGGCTTTTCTTTCCTTAAAAGTCTCAACTTTTGTCCAAGGTTTGAGTCCGAGGAAAAGACAGGCCAGCATTCAGAAGTTAGAATCGATTTTTAAGGTGTATATTTATTATTAAAATAAAATTTGATAGCTAAAATAGTGTATCACTTACATAAAAAAGTGCCGGAGCCCTTTTTATTAAAGGCTCCGATGCGCTCCAGCTAAAATTATGATTTATATCAAAAACTGAGAAGTACCGGACCCGGGCACTAATGGGCTCCGACGCAATTTAAGCTCTGTTCAGGACCTCAAGTATTTAAAACAGTAAACCATAAAATCAAACGTAATCTATAAAATTGGGAATTTTAACACTACATGCTAAAACTACAAAAACTCGCGCGCTGGTTAAACGAGAGGCTCAGTATAAACGGCTATATTGGCTGATTATCACAGTATTTTCTTAAATTCTAAGTTAACTTCAGCCTAATTTGCATTCTGGAGATGTCTGATGACAGAAAATATGAAGGTATGGAAAAGAACTAACGTAAAAATAGCGTAACTATAAACAAACTTTGCAGAATAAGGTTTTAATGTAGATATTTTGAATTAATGACATTCCTTTAAGTGACACGTTTATACCATTTAATTTATTGTAAAACGTTTAATATTAAAACAACGTATTGCAGAATGATTTAATCAATGCAAGGATCGTATATGATATAAAATTCCTCATAACAACCAATTATTCCAATAATGACTACATATGAATCCTAATACAGATACTATATTCCTAATACAGGAAATGTTAACTGTATTAAGAATCAAAAACTACTCTTTTATGTTTGCATATTTTAACTGACTAAAACTGATTCAGCTGAATGCATTTCAAAATACTAGATTTCGAAATCCTTTTTAGCAGTAGCTTTGAAGAAATCAGTCACACTCTTGCAAGAAGTGGGACCGTAGATCTTTCATTTTCTGGCTGCTACATTTACGTCACAAGAATACATTTCAGTAACGCTTTTATTTATTCTTTGCAAAGTAAACTATACAAATGTAATTTAAAACTAAGAAAAAATGATAATCTAACACTTCCTTTTATGAGCAACAAGAAATACTTTCAATTAAATAATGGCAACTATACTTTCATCGTCACAAGGGATGCAAAATGGTGATCCTACGACAAATATGAAGCTCAGGTGAATTTGCATGGAATAAAACGAACAGCCTAAGTCGAAATTATTGAATGATGGCTTAGGTCTATCAAGACTAAGCAACATGGATTAATTCCAGGGAATGATATTGATATCCCAGCTGTTTCTAGATTTAATTTCCACACTTCTCAATTCCAAATAAAATTGGGGACAAATTTCGCGTAGTGTTCCATGGATCTGCTCAATCTTCTGGCGGCGTGTCTCTCGAAATTGACCAGGTATAAAATTGACGATTGGTCCACAGTTACAGATTAACTTGATAATATTACTTACTAGTTTCAGGACGCACAAAATAACCGTAACCTTGGATACACAAATATGTACTGGCAAACCATACTACTATAAGTCTCCGACTTTCAGAGAATAATTTGGCGTAACTCATCCTTCAAACCTACCAATATTTTCGACTGACAAGAAATGCTTACGAGACCGTATCAGCAGCGTACCTTACAATAAAATGCTTGCTGCAGTTAGCAACAGAAGAAGCAGATAATTTTCCTCTGACTTCTAAAGCATGCCTCGTGGACTTCTACGTTGATAGTTTGATGTCTGAGGCTAATTTAATCTCCAAAGCTCTAGAATTCCAAGTGCATTTGAATCACAGGACGTGTGGATTTGAATCAGATGTTATCACGCGAAAAATATGTTTTAAGAAAATGGGCTTCTAACAGCAATGAACTCTCTAACTCAATTATCTGAGATTTGCGTTTATCAAATGCTTCTTTGAGCATAGTGACAATACAGTAAAAACATTAGTTATGTTCCTCAAATATGTTCTTTCTTCGTCTCTTGAAGTCTTAACCAACATTATTTTCAACAATCGTAAAGACCTTTGATCCTCTAAAATGATTTTCACCGATTTAAGTTCAATATAAATTAATCATGCAAAGACTACGGAAGCATCAGTTTCAGTGGAATAATTCCTCCAGATAGTGAATGGAACTGGGAGCAAATTGCAAAATATATACCGTTTTTTAAAAGGCAACAAAATTTCACGGTTCCTGTTGGTTTATTTCGATTACCAATTTCAACTGCTTAAGCGATGCTTCAGAAAAGGCGTATGCAGCAGCAATTTAGATCGTTCCGTATAACATATTGGATAAATTAATATTCATCTGTGATAGCCAGGGAAGCAGGTATAAAATTGAAAGAATATTACTTAAAACGCGTTGTTTATGAAACGAAATTAACATATGAAGATTCTGAAACATTTATCACACAAGTAGAAGCTTGTCTTGTCTTAAATCACAACCTTTAACATCTAATGTCCTTTGGTCTAATATCCCAAAAGACTTATCATCCTTAATACTTGACACTTTTATTGGTAGACCATTGACAAATATATAAGCATTTGCAAACGTTTCCGATATTACTGAACCATTTTTTAGATATGTAGCCATCTAGTATTGTGTCAAAACCAGTATTTCCCACAATACTAGATGGCTACATATCTAAAAAATGGTTCAATAATATCGGAAACGTTGGCCTAAAGAATATCGGTTTTAGAGTACTCGAAGTTCAACATGACTTTAAAACCAAACTGTGAAACAATATTTTATAAAGTTTATATTCTTACAATAAATATAAGTTTAAAATGAGAGTTTCTCCGTCAGTCAGTTAAAAAGAAACTGAGTATCCAACAAAATCATATGGAAACGGTTAATGTAGGAAGGACGCATTGCAGAAATCTGACCATTAAACATGTTCTACTTCAAAATTCGAAACTGAAAAATCGCGTAATTAAAAACATTTTAAGAATTTTAACACTTTTATTATTCATAATTTATTGGTTATTTTAGTTTATTTTTATAATATATAAGCATTCGTCTTTGTACTTATCACATGTACATGTGATCTCATATAAAAGTATATGCACATGCTACCGTCACGTTAATTTCAAATTTAATTTCATATTTCAATAAAATCTATATGAATGTGTTATGAAATCGAATTTCGAGAAGCAGATTTTGATAAAATTTACTTACACTGACATAGCTGAAGTATGGCCCACCAGATTCCAAAAAGAATGTAAGAATACCAAGGTACTACCCACTTTACACCAGATCTGATGTCATCCATCCTAAAAATATAAAGATGCCAATATTAGGATTTAAATAAAAAAATTCTTATACCATGTGATAAGAGTTCATTATAATACTTTTTTAATTAAAGTAGTATTGAGTCAAAATCGAACACTAATTTTTATGAACCACAATTATTGATGAAACATTTGCAAACAATAAATCTTTTCCGTCTCTGTACATCTTGTTAATATACTGAAAATCCTCTCATTCTCGTTTTAGACATTTACATTTCTTATACACTTTATAACGGAAATGCTTGTGACTCCCTGAAGACTGAAGATTTTGACCTCTTCTTAACTATCAGAAAGATTAAATTCAGGAATTTCGTGTTAAAATTTAAACACTGTATACAAGAATATAATTGAGCTTTTAAAACCATTATAGCCTGTAATTTAGTGAAATCGACTGAATTAAAACATTAAATAACCTTTAAGCAAATTGTCAAGTAAATTTAAGACAAAATTATTTAACATATTTAAATATTTTTGTGCAGGTATATCATATCAAGTATCGTTTTAAAATAGTATAGATTTCGGCAATTAACTAAGAAAATTTGTCTTAGTTTGTTTTTCTAATAATAATGTTAAACACGCTAACTTAGATATGATAAGCCAATGCTCTATTGTGTTGTGTTGTGATTTATCTCACTTGTCTGACCGTAATATCAGAACAATCCCAAGAAATTCATCATGGCAAGGAGAGCAAGATCCTTGAGCACCATATAGGTGTAATACGATTTCACTCCGTTCCGCCCCCAATTTTGATGGAGAACACCCCGGGGGACGGGTCCGAGAGTCTTCCACCCCTCTTCCTGTAACACCAGCCTTCCGAATGGACATTCGGCTCACTATATATTTAGATAGCCTCCATGCCGGAAAGACACCATACATTTACAAACATCCATGCCTTCTCCGAACCCGTGCCCCTGGCATTGCAGTAGGCTTTCATAACAAATACACAGTCTAAGTGGCCACCAATGCGCTGCATCAGCTAATCGAGCCCGATTGTTTACATTAATTGATATTTACATAAAAATATGATCCTATGAAAACTAGTAGCCCAATGGGCCACCCATAAAACCCCTCCTTTAATTTAGAACTGGAAACACTAGTATAAACTGAAATTTAGTTTACATATAAAATGCAAGAACTTAAGAAAAAGCATAATTACGCTAATGTAAATTATTTAAAACATAAGCACTAGGCACAGAAAGAAGTCAAATGATCTAAATATTGCAAGGAACTTGAAATTTTTTGCGATCTATAGTAAAATTGTAGAGACATTAGGTTATTTCGAAACAGGAAAGATGAAAAATGAGCAATGCCCTCGCCGGGACTCGAACCAATGGACCTCTCGAATACGCGTCGAGTGGGCTGAACACTACAGCACGAAGACATGCTAAGAAGGCGGGAGAAATACCTTATATTACTCCCCCTTTTAAAGGACGACTGGGGATTAGGGGACCTAGTCGCCAAATCCTGGGGTGGAGAATCATCATCCACCATCTTTTTTAGTTCGAGCGCCACTGTAGAGTCATTAGGATTTTTTGGAGGCTGAAAAATGAGCAATGCCCTCGCCGGGCCTCGAACCACGGACTTCTCGAATACGCGTCGAGTGTGCTGACTACTACTCCACGAAGGCCTGCTAAGAAGGCTGGAAAAATACCTTATAAACTTGCAGGCAAATAGTATTTCAATCTAATGCATAAATACTCTTCCAACTGTTATGATTTACAAGCTCATTTTTCTATTGTAATATACAGTACATGCGATACAATAGTGCTGAAATAAATATAATTTATCTTTTAATAGGTGCATGAGAAATACAGAAGAAATAATTTCTTATGAATAACACTGAAAGCAAATAAAAGGGAGCTATTTGTAATCGGCACTTTTCCTTTATCTTCATAATACAATTTTTTGTCACATAATAATTTAATCATTCCTACTGTCGAAAATTCATATTAATCTGAAAACATGAAAACAGTTTACTTACATTAATTCTAATTTTTTTAATCTTCGTAAATGACAATATAAGAGAAACAGACTCAAGATTATTTCTTGCGCTTGGTAGATAAAAAACACTGAAGAAAGGTTCCTTAAAAGCAGTACAAAGATTCAAACTTACTTGTTAAGAAACTTGTTATTTTAGTCCGATATACATCCAAAGGAAATTTCCGACATAAACTAAACATTCGGCTTTTAAAAAGTGTGCCTATATTAAACATAACGGGAAATCCTCGGCCCTGAAAGTGCTTACTCATTTGGCGTAGCTGCAGAAGAACAATGCTTCATCGCGTTGCGAAGGAATCTTCTCATCATAGAGGTACTATTTCCCTGCGCGCTAGGAATCTTCATTGTGAAAAAGTGAATCGGGAGCAGCTGTCAATCGGTTAGAAAATGGGTAACCACTCATTGTTTCTTGGTGAGAAGATGAAATTTAGTCAAGGAATTCGATGATCTGATTAGCATTCCAACGTTTTCTTCACAGTAAGTATCTATGAGTAACTATCTTTCGAAGCACTATTTTATTGGTATATTTTAGTTGCACGTACTTAGTTTAAGAGCATTCATCGGTCTGTTTTTATGTACGAAATGGAAAGTGAGTCATTTTTCAAAAACTCGGTATATTGTACATTTAAGATATAATTAGGGAAACTGGCCAAAATTAAGCAGATTTACAATCAGAAGTTGGATGCAGATTCATTTCTTAAAATCTGAAAGTTCAGTTTTATTTATGCTAGAGAGTAGTAAGCAGTTTGAGTATATGAATTTATTTTCAGAAGTTAATATAAAAAATTCACTGTAAAGAAAAATTATATAATATTACAATATATTCCTCTAATACAATGGTTTTTAAGTTAAGAAAAAACTAGTCTTTGCTATTTTAATGTTAAAGAATCTTTATTCCTTTCTTTTAAGTACAGTCCTTTCAGAAAAGTTTGTGTGCTAATGGTACAATAACTTTTGTTTGTGTTGGTTGTTTCATTTTATGTTGCTATTGTTTTATGCAGTCATCGAAATCAAGTCTAAGTATTTATGATTTCAAAAGAATTCTTCTTACTATTAAAGAAAGATATTATTTTAATAAAATAATGGAAGGCATTATTTTGACAAAACAATAGAAAAATGTTTACAAAATTAAATTACAATTTTTTATAATTATTGGGCTACTCCTAATAGCTACAGTTGTAGGCTTTAGGCTAATTAATTATTTTTCTTATTTTTCGAATTATGCTATCATTTCCAGTTTTCATCAACTCTTAAGAGAACGTGTATATATGAATATAGTTTTTTTTAAAATTACGAACAGCTTTGGCTGTGACTCTGACCATTGTGCTATTACTTCGCCCAACTTTGAGAATTACGTTATCAGTTATATTTCGTAGCCGAATAACTCGCACAATTAAAGTTGAGCTAACGGCTAACGGCTCAACTCTTAATAGGCTTTGTACGTATAAATCTCTAACGCTGAAATATTCTTAAATTGTAATTCACATTTTATGCTATATGAAATCTTGCAGTCTGTGCAGATCAGATTGTGAGCATAAGACGTGCACTTGTTAAGTTCAGAGTTTTAAATTAAAACGCTTGTTTAAATTTTCTGTTTTGTAGATGTTTTCAGCTTTATTATTGCTACACATTTTTAAATTAATTATGTGCAAATATCATAAGCATTATCTTAAATTATTTAATCTAGTTAACCTTTATATACTGTTTTCTCTAATCATTAAATCTGTTTATTGCTTTATCAATTATTTGCCAGCTGTAGTTTTAGTTCCAGTTCGTAGAAAAATGTTTATAAATCAGTAATTAAAAGAAATTTTCACTGTTTTCACTGTTAAACGTTCTTAAACATTTCCTGATGAAGTAAAACCCGATCATCCTAGTTAATGGATAGGAGAAATATAGGACAATGCACTAAAAATATTTTCTACAATTAAAGATAGAATTGAATACGAATAATTTTTTAAATAGACATCTGTATTATAACCGTTATATATTTATATTATTTAAAACAATAATTTATTCTTTGAGAATTCGCGAAGCTTAACGGCAACTAACGCTACAGTTTGATACTCAGTAACCATGAAATTGATTTACTGAATAACAGTTTCACAGTTTACTTTTCTTGTATACAATATACAGAGGTTACTTATTTTCACTGCAAAATTTCCTGTTCTATGATAATGATTTAAAAAAATAAATGAGAGGAAAAAAAGACGGATTTTAGAACTAAATAATTCATTGTTATTTATGTCTCTTCGTCTTTTCAGCTGAGAGCTAAGATGAATTTTACACTAAGACTGAATTTTCTGTTGTTTTCCACGTGGAATGGTAAAAGTTCTAAGAATGTTATTATATGTGTTACTGACACTGCAGGGCGAAAATTATTCTAAATGACTAGATAAAGTAGAAACAACTAAATTTTGCAAATTTTTTCATAAATATTATTTTCTAAGGGCGTTACATATTTAGAACCTGATCTTCTTTAATAATTTTCCTATATAATATATTATAATAAAATATTTCTGTATTTTAGCGAACATTCTAAGCCACTTGCTTCATCACATATAATACGATACTTCATTACAGACTTACTTTTAATTTATAAAATTCTTGAAATTTGAAATTATTATTTATATCAGTAAAACTTTGTTCAGTATCTGTCAACTTAATTTGTATAAATAAAGTGCATAAATTTAATTTGTTCTTTTACTATTTATATACATCTATTAATATAATGTTATTTGATTCTCAGTCTTAATATTAAAATTTAATGATTCTACGCTTTATGAATGAAGGATATGAACTATGCTATTTCCATTACTTTAAATAATCTTTAACTTCAGTAGCTTTAGAAAGTTAATAAATACTTTCGTCATTGACTCCTAAATACACAGTTTTAATGTCGCACTGGGCTCTTTTAAGTTTCAAAAACGGCATTTTTATCATCGAAAAGAAAAGCATTTATTGATGCTTGAATGTAAAAACACTCTACGGCAGTAAATGAAAAAACAAGTCGTTCAACTTTCAATTATTAATTAAGATAAACAACAATGGATACATACATTTTCTCCTCTGCACCTCTGAAGAAATACGAGGAACCCCATGTGTGAGACCAAAATTGTTATGTCATTTTCATAAGGTAAGTAAAATAGAATAATTTATATAAAAAAAAAGGAAAATTCATTCATTCATTCATGTTTAATCCTTAATGACGTCACATTTCTGACGCAAATTAAGAAACTCTATTTAAAATCACGAGAGCGTTGCCATCTCCTACAGTTAAAAAGAACATGAATCGACAGATTTTCCACTTGAGACAGCGCGAAACTAAAATGGGACTCAGTCTTCAACCTCCTGACCCGGAAATCTATTTTTCCACGAGACAGACTTTTTTTATTATTATTATTGCCGCACATCAAAAGGGATGCGGGCGGCTGAACACCGTCTTTTTTCTTTGAAAAACAAACGAACTATTACTCATTAGCGGTAAGAGAATATCGCCACCATCTTTGCTAGTTACGGTATTTATGATTCAATCTGCCAATGATGTCGTGAGCGTCTGTTTCTTTTTCTGAATCGAATTTTAACGATAGAATGTAGGTTAAGATCAAAGTAACAGCAGATTGAGAAATGGTTCAGGATTTGTAGCATAACGCTTTTCGATTATTTTTGTTATGGTAGTACCATTGGTCTTCCCTTGTGCTTGAATTTATCTGCTTTATATTCGTATAAAAATTCAAGTAAAATAATTAACTATACAATGCATCACTTCAAACCTTAGTCAACTAAGAGTCGCTGAATTTCAGATTTTGAACTTTTTGGAGAATTATGAGGATCTGGCTATGAACATAACTACAGTGGAACCTCGAGATACGAGCACCTCTACATACGAGAAATACGAGATACGAGGAAAGTATGAGCAAAATATTCGTCTCTAAATACGAGCATTGACTCAAGTAACGAGCAAGGAGCCAAGCTGTTGGTATACGTGGCGCATTTCTCGATCCGGCGCGACTTGGTGAATACCCTCGCTAGGTCACTCAGTTTTCTTTGTATCTACGTGTTTGTGAGCTTGTGAATTAATTGTTTTTACATTTAAAGTGAAAATAATTATTTCACAATGCCTCCCAAGAAGATTGTTGCCTCAGATAGTGCTGCAGAAAAAAACAAAAAAAAAAAAAAAAAAAAAAAAAAAAAAAAAAAAAAAAAAAAAAACCTGAAAAAAAAAAAAAAAAAAAAAATAAAAAAAAAAAAAAAAAAAAAAAAAAAAAAAAAAAAAAAAAAAAAAAAAACAAAAAAAAAAAAAACAAAAAAAAAAAAAAAAAAAAAAAAAAAAAAAAAAAAAAAAAAAAAAAAAAAAAAAAAAAAAAAAAAAAAAAAAAAAAAAAAAAAAAAAAAAAAAAAAAAAAAAAAAAAAAAAAAAAAACAAAAAAAAAAAAAAAAAAAAAAAAAAACAAAAAAAAATAAAAAAAAAAAAAAAAAAAAAAAATAAAAAAAAAAAAAAAAAAAAAAAAAAAAAAAAAAGGAAAAAAAGAAAAAAAAAAAAAAAAAAAAAAAAAAAAAAAAAAAAAAAAAAAAAAAAAAAAAAAAAAAAAAAAAAAAAAAAAAAAAAAAAAAGGAAGCCATGGCAGTTGAAATTAAGAAAGAAATCATAGATAAACGTAAGCGTGGTGTAAGAGTGATGGAATTGGTAAAGACTTACGGCCGTTCGATATCGACGATCTGCACTATTCTGAATAAGAAGGAAGAAATTAAGAAACTTGATAAGGCCAAAGGAGTTATAATTATTTCCAAGCAACGTCCAAAACTTCTAGAAGTTGTTGAGAGGCTGTTTTTGGTGTGGATTAACGAGAAAGCAGTTAAAAGGCGATTCGGTGTAGGAAGCTATCATTTGCGCTACGGCTAAGAATCTCTACTTGGACCTTCTCCGAAAAGTACCAGGTACGTCGACGGAAGATGAGATGGTAATGAGATTTTGGGGAATGCAGAACGGATTACCTAGATTTCCATTACTTTTAATGGGGAAGTTTGTTTCTAGATACGAGAAATTCGCTATACGAGGTAATGCTGGAACGAATTAACCTCGTATTTCGAGGTTCCATTGTACAAGAAATAGGGCGCTCGTAAGTAAGGCTCTTGCAAATGATACGACTAATTTCAGTTGCTTATATTTCAGATTTGCAGAATGTATTTTGTATAACAATAAATAAGATAAAATTAGAACTGAAATTTAATAATATTTTATCGGTTTGTAAGAATTTTCACCAAGGCGTTGTAGAGACATTTTTTTTTTTTTTTTGGAAGCAGGCAAGATAAAAACATGCAACGCCTTCGCCGGAAATCGAACCACGGACCTCTGGAATACCGAACCAGCGTGCAGAACCACTACACCACGAAGGCGCACTATGAAAGCAGGAGATATACCTTATAGCGTAAGAAACAATTTTCTCGATCAATGGATCAAACGTGCTTCAGATGGAAGTAAATCTTCGTAAAATGATCATCAAGTCAAGGTTTGAAGAAGTATATTGTATTATAACAATATTCAGTCCCTGAGCAATGATATCAGTGTCTTCATTATCAAGACAAAAATTTTGGACGTATGCCTTTTTAAGTTAAAACTTTACGCAAGAAATTTTCTAAAATGTTTTGTTAAAATATTTTTCGCTTTATTTTTTCTAGAAATTCAAATGATGAAAACCTAGAATGCAGATTAAATAAAGCGAAATGAGACAGTAATGTGACACGGAGTTTTTACCAAACCAAATGTCATGGCACTGCATAACTTTTTCTGTTTAAAAATATACAAACACTTATTTCGAAACAATCCATTCCTTGACTACTCACTTCTCAGTGGTTGTTGTTCTAGTCTAGAAAGTTACCTAGCATTTGCATTATGCTAAACTGTGTTTGATGTTGTAAAACAAGCGCCCTAAAAGATAGGTTTTCGACTAATCCGTAATTACGTCAACCAGTGTTTCGGCTGGAAGCTTTTCATGTTTAAAAATGTAAAATAAGATTTTTTTAATTCTAGCTATTAACCAAATTTTTGTTATTTAGTAAAGCATGTCGGTTGAACTAATAAGGCCAGAAAATGGGTTTCTGGCTGCTCTATCCCAGTGTAAATTGAGAGTTATTTTTTGAACAAGTTAGCATACAAAAAATAAGTTTACTTGATGTAGCTAATTAAACAATCATTGACGGCTGATATGTCCTGCAGTCTGAGAGTGTAATCAGCGCTGCTGAGCAAAATTAGGAAGAAGAGAAAAATTCTCAAGTAGTAAGGTAAAGGGCAGCTAGTCTTTTTCAGTTCAGTATGCAATTTAGCCAAAACAATAGAACGAAGGGGACATTTTGTAATAATTAAATTGGCAATAATAAACCTTTTAAGATAAAAAGAATAATGAAAGTTGTAAACGTTTTTGTAAAACGCAAAGTGAATCGAAGCATTTTCCTACAGTGCTGCCTGTAAATTGCTTCTCATGTTAATACAATAGTGGCAGTGGCTCCATCTAGTGCTCTTGCAGTTAAAATTTATTTCATTCTAGATGAATGAAAACTATTCAGTGGAAAATTCTTCTAAAAGGAAAGTAACGGTATAAAATTTCCTCAAAAGCAATCAGGTTTGAATAATATATATAAAGGCAAAGAAATCCGTTTTGGAGTTTTATAGAAAGACTATAAATCTGAATCCTGAATCCCAAACAGGCAGAAAACTATATTATTGATAAGTAATAAACAGTATTCTTTTTTGGTAGAAGTTTCACATATCTGAACAAGTTTAATAAATTATCCATTACGAAGCTATTGAATCCCATGTAATGTATGTAAGAAAGCGAAACTTAGAACAAAATTTGAAACAGATGCAGGTAAAAGAAGAAGGTATAATAAATGATTAAAGAAACAAGAAATTTTGAAAAATTATTAGATGCAGTACATATAGTAAGACAGAATTAGCATTTATACTATTTCATTTACCATGTGTTAATGTAGTTAGTAGTTATTTCAACTAGTCACTTCATTAACAGCCGTGAATAAAATGATTTGAGAACATGGAACCTTAGAATACGGACTTGAGAACTACTTGAGAATACGCAAAGAGCTAATGGTTTGGTTCTCTCTTGTGTCTCCAGAGCTACCATAGAGGTAATAAATAAAAGTTAGTCAGCACTTGTCCAAGATATTTAGCATCAACTGAAAGAAATGACATCCTAGATAAGATCTGCATTCTGCAAAAGATGCCTGCTCACAATGGCATTACTGGAAACGAAATCGCAGACAGGAGTACTCTTTTCAAACACATAGATTCTAAACTTGTAAACTGCCAGCTAAAATAAATTAATCAAATGGGCGATTGAGCTGGACTCAGTGCTTTCTTTTCAAAATTAAATGTGCCGGAGTCCCATCGAAGGCAGTTAGGAGAGAAGAAGAACAAAAAAAAAAAAAAAAAAAAAAAAAAAAAAAAAAAAAAAATATAAAAAAAAAAAAAAAAAAAAAAAAAAAAAATTAAAAAAAAAAAAAAAAATTAAAAAATATAAAATTAAAAATTAATTAATGAATAATTAAAACAATGAAAATGAAATAATTTATGCAACTAATAATTAAAATTAAAATTAAATAAAATGTCAGGTAATAAAACAAAAATTTATAAAAAATTAAATTAATAGTAAATAGCTAAATAATAATCTTACTTAGAACTCCAGTAGAATAATAGTATCACTCAAAAACTAAGAAATAACTCAATCCGGGCTTTCGTTTAAGCCCTGGATATACAGTATACAGTTAGAGGGGGAGAGGTGTGTATGTGTGTATGTGTATTTAATTACGGCAAAGCACACTAGGGCTATCTGCCTAAGGTGAGGGATGCCTTCGTGGAGGGCTTTCTAAGGGAAACTGGCTCGTATACTTGTTACACATGGGGAAAACCACGAAAACACCCATGCAGCCAGCCCGTTCGCGGGATTCGAACCTCGGACCGAACTACCAGTGTTCAGCGACTTTACCGCTCGGCCGCTGGTGGGCCCCTAGACGGAGAGAGGAATCACATTAATGGCACATTGTTTGTTTTTTTTTTTTTTCAAAGCTTTAAGCCCAGAAAAAGATATTAATTTCACTTTAGCATTTTGCATTGGTTCACTATAAATGGTGTTTCACTTTTTAAATTGTTGCAGCCAAATATTAGCGCATTGCATTATATTTAAAAAAATTAAATCATAAAGAATCTGCATGAGTGTAGATATGTTTCTCGCATTCTGATAAAACAACGGTCCCTAGAGACA